TTCCTCACAATTCTGACTTTTTTTCCTTCTCACAATTCTGACTTTTTTTCCTCACAATTCTGACTTTTTTCTCACAATTCTCATTTTTTTCTCACAATTCTGACCTTTTTTCCTCACAATTCTGACCTTTTTTCCTCACAATTCTGACCTTTTTTTTCCTCACAATTCTGACTTTTTTTCCTTCTCACAATTCTGACCTTTTTTCCTCACAATTCTGACTTTTTTTCCTCACAATTCTGACTTTTTTTCCTTCTCACAATTCTGACTTTTTTTCCTTCTCACAATTCTCATTTTTTCCTCACAATTCTGGACTTTTTTTCCTTCTCACAATTCTGACCAAAGACCAAAGAATCAAAGACCATGATCCTCACAGCGCTGTCTGCCTTGTCTGAATGACAGTGGGTTTGTTGAAGCAGGTGTAAGATGACATCATCAACTCCATCTCCATGGCGATAAGCAAACTGCAGCAGTCCTGATAGCTGCTTGTTGGCTTGCTGAAGTGAACCAAGCAATGTCTCTCTAGGACCTTCATGGTATGGGTTGCCAGGGCAACAGATTTTACCAGATTAAAGTCGTAACATTAGGAAAATGAAGTGGAGGACCAAATTAATTAATTAATTCGTTTTTAGCTCTCAGCTGTAATTTCAACTATCAAGATAAACAAAGCCAATAAAAGTCACAATGTGTCTAATTGTTTTTTAAAATCAACCTCCAGCTCTGATAATTAATAAAAACGAGGAAAGTAATCAGGTTCTAGGACTAATTCGCCCTCTTATGTCTGAACTGAGCGATCATGAAAAATACTTTGAGTAAGACAAGAAAAAGATCTATATAAATTAAGCTATTTATAGTTAAAGTCAGAAGTTTACATAAACTTATCACCATGGAAACAAACTCACCTGTAATTACCAGGATGAGTTGTTGTTTTATTATTAATGTGCTATAGCAGCCGTTTCTTGTTAGACACACTAGCAAAAATCAACATATTACATGAAAATCTACAGACTGGGACAGTACTCACTACACTGATGTGAAAAATGTTTTTAATACTTTCAGCGTCTCCAAACTTTTGGCCAAATGAAATAAAACCAAAAGAAATGATTCAGTTTAAATAAGCGGTTTGTTTGCAGCTGGAACAAACCAGAACCTCTGCTGTTGACCGGGTCATCCACCCACCCCGCCGTGGTTCCTTCATCTCCAGAAACGGTAAAATTAAATATTCATCTCAGTTATTTTCAGTCTGCAAGTCGAAGCGTGAACATTGGTTCTTTCAGGGGGCGCTGGAGTTCATTTTCTCCTGGCAGCTGTCCCAGAAGCTCTGTAGTCTGTTGTCCTTGTTGGAGCAGAAGTCGGTCAGGTCCCTGAGCAGGCGGTCGGCCAGCCTTTCATCCCCCAGCACCCCCGTCCTCCAGGCTTTGGTCAGCATTGTGTTGTAGGCCCAGTAAAAGCCCACCCTCTCCTCGCCGCCGAACGGGCTCTGGCTGTTGGAAGTAGTGGAGTTCCTGCGGCGCCGAGTCTGCCCGCCTGAATACTTCCTCTTGGAGTACGGCAGCTGTAGGAACACCGTCCCTGGAGGAATGAGGGACAGCTAAGATTTCCTCTTTCACAACAGAAGAGAGTTTTTATTTTTGATGCTGCGATGGAGCAAACCTGTAACATGGATGTACTGAGGCTTGTTCTCTGCGGGGAAATTGAAAGACGAGGCAGAAAACTTGTCGTGCACGAAGCCGAACCTGGATGGAGGAGAAGAAACCGCCTAGCATGAAAGAGACGCACCCCTGGTGGTCCGCAAATGCATTGCAAGGGGTACATTAAAATATTGTATTTCTAAGGAAGTAAAATAAAATAGAGCTGGGTCTCTATTTTGCTTTGTGAGGACCCAATTGAAAAATTAAACAAGCTTTTTTTAACCAAAATGTAAGTTTTTCTTATATGTTAAAAACTAATTAAGTAAATCTGACGATAATTTTATTCTGTATTTTGTTCCCAATTCGTCAAGTTTAAATGTGATTTTGAGGAAGTTTAGAGGAGCTCCAGTTTAATAAATACAGGTTTATATTATGATTTTATTTTTGTATTTATTTTTATTCCTTACTAACTTTCAGGCAACATATCTATGTTATTTTTTGAGATGGAATGCTTATAATTATAAAAATTAAATGCTCAAATTAAAAGATATAGATGGATAGAGGGGAAATTCACCTTCTCGACAGGAAAGATAAAAACATATAAAATAGGATAAAAAAAAAACCACAAAATTAGATAATCAGGGTTCCTACAGCATAAGGCAAGTTAAATTCAAGACTTTTTAAGACTTTTTAATGCCACTTGAAATAAAAATTTAAGACCAAATTCACAAGAAACACAAGAAAAACCTGCTTGCATCAACTTAACCCAAAGGTTTATTTTAACATAAACCGCTGCACTAATGTTTCACATTTTGAAAAGCTTCCCATACAGGAAGAAAGCTAAAAACACACCAATGACAGATATTTTTTAACAATTATTTAACTGAATTCACAAACTTTGTTTTAGCAGGGAACAAAACAAATCAGTTTTAAAGCCCCAACATAACCAGTGCTAAGTCTTTTTTGCAGCTATTTTTCTTTGTATGGTTTTCTTAGTATGTTTGATTTGGTGATAAGTGGAGGCGTTGCAGAGACAAGGGTGGAACTAAACTGAGAAATACCGGCTGTTTCTCTGTAACTCCATTTTGACGCTTTGTGTTTCGTGCTTCGCATGTGCGACTCCACTGCCTTAATTCCCATCGTTCTGAGCTTGAATGACTTCTTGCACTAAATCCACTGAGCCTCATGTATGTTCCCTGGTTTTAGCCATGGAGGAAACTCTTGGCTGGAGACTATTTTGGTTACATTTACACTTGCTCATATTTTCCAGACAAAAAGTTAATGGTGCATCTCCCAAATGTCCCGGCCGCAACAACGCTTTATTGGTTCCGCTATCGGGACGGAACCAATAATGGCGAGCCGTTATTTTTTTTTAAATAAAAAAAAAATAAAATTGTCAATTTTAACGTTTTATTTAGATTACAAAAGTAAATCGTAATAAAAATAATCCTATTTATGATGTTTTAAAAATTAAGACCTACGAAAGACTGATTTAAGACATTTTAATACCAATTAAGGCCTTAGTTTTATTTTGAAGAATTCAATGCCTTTTAAGACTTTTTAAGGACCCGCAGGAACCCTGGATAATGTTATAATAATAATAGTTACTCAGTCCTTCTAGAGGCATTAAACTGTCTAAGCCGGGACAAAATATATTTTGTATCTCCATTCTGTTTCTCACAGAGATCAGTCTTTATTTCAGTTATTCTACGTTCCATTTTGGACGATCATCAATACTTCTGACTGAGACTCATGGTAAGACAAAATGCACAAAGAGGTAAACAAGTCAAGAAAGGTTTGGAAACACTGATCTAGAAGAAGCTGCATCTTTACAGAGTGAATTTGGTACCATTGCTGTTGGAAAACAAAAGGCAGGTTTTATTAGTTTAAAATTCAAATATAAAACACAATCAAGAAATTAAACTTTGAAGGAAACTTTGCTTTTTTCTCAGATATTGTTTTGCACATTTTCTATGTATTGTTTCATATTTTATTCAAAAAGAAAAGTTTAAAAACAATCCACTTAGTTTCAAAGCTTGAAGGCGTTTCTCTTCCCATCCAGGAAGCTTTTACAATTTAAAATGTCAGAAATAGAGTTGAGATCGAGGCTTTGAAGAGTGGACCAAAAAAAGTCTTGTTTTGGTTTAGAAAACATAAATGTTGAACGGGAAGAACGGGTCCAACTCTTTAGAATGGGGTATTTTATTAGCCTGCAAGATGTGATACTGGTCTACGCCTCTTAAAGGGGAGGTCGTTAGGGGGAATTGTTGGCCTGGTGTACAGGCATATTTTATCTTTTCAAACTGCTTTTTATCAGAAAAGAAAACGATCACAGATCTTATATTTTGAAATAGGATAATATAACCTAAAATTTCTAATTTTTAGATTTGAAAATAGTCTTTTTAACTAATATCTTCTCTTCTTAGAGCGGGATTTCCTCTGGAGTGAGGAGGTCTGTGTGGACGTCAGCAACGATGTTTTATTGGTCAATATGTGTAAAGCATCTATAGTGGGCTTGATGTTTATTCTTTTTTGTTTCTGCATTTTTTTTATTTTATTTCTTTTTTTTATTTTTTCCTACTTGCTTTGATTCTGTTTTATCTTCCTGTATTTTAATCATGTAAAGCACTTTGCATTGTCTTTGTACTGAATTGTGCTATACAAATAAATTTGCCTTGCCTTGCCTTACGTGAAGAGAATGATCTTTAAAAGGCAATTTGAAAAGAATAAAATATGTAAAATCAATCTGAATAATTAAAATTTGATCAAAGCAAAGGAAATCTATAAAAATATATTGAAAAAATAAAACAGAGAATAAATATGAAAAAACAAAGGTATTATCAAAACTTTTCTTTATGTGCATTTTTAATGTTTCATTTCTGGATAACTTTTTATTATTTCCATTTACAAAATGTGTTCTTTTCTTGCAACAATGAAACAAAATTCATTCTATATATTTTGTACATATAACAGAAAAAGCACTAAGCTAATGTTGCTCCATACAGCTGTGGGAAAACTTTTTATTATTTTAAACTCCAAAGATGAACGTCTAAAGAAATAACAAAACTGAAACTTTTAATCCCACTAAAAGATGTAAACATCGATTAAAGTGCAAAGCTCTGACCTGTAGAGGATGGCTTCCTGGAAGAGTTGCATCCTGTCCCAGTACGTCTCTGGTTCAAAACCTGTTGGATGACAAGCAAACAAGAAGACGAGAAGAAGGCTGGACTCAAAATGTTGTTCAATCGTGGCTAAAATTTGGAAGCAACACAAATGTGATTCACATCGCTGCTGAATCAGCGTACAACGTTCGATCAAATCTAAATGACTTCATCGCATTGGAAGATTAAGAGTGAAACTTTTATTTACTGCATCTTTAACTTGGCCTTAAACGCTTTACTTTCAGTGTAAGTATTTCATTGGCGTAGATGAAGCTGGCAAAGAGTCTGGATGAAATCCTGGGCAACCTCATTATGATTTCTGTTGTTTTTATCATTTTATTCATTTACCGTATTTTCACGACCATAAGGCGCACCGTACTAAAAGGCGCAGTCTCAGTTATGTGTCCCATTTCTGTATTTAACACACGCATAAGGCGCACCAGACTAAAGGGCACGGGTTTTATATACCGGTACATGTCCTCTACTACGTTTAAATACCTCTACTGCGTATTTAAAAATAGAGCGGGAGCAAAACTGAGTATGTTTGTGCTTTATTCATGTATTTTTTACAAAGTAGGCTATTAATCAAACCTGGGAGCTGATCGTGAGACAGACACATCGCTAATGATCAGAGCGCTGTGATCACTCCTCTTAAACAGTTTATTGACGCCTAAATTAACTTAAAATGCAGCAATCTGCCGGCAGAATATGTTCGCTTTTATTATCCTGGTGCCTGCAGTTTGGATTGTACCAGTTTAGTTCTGACGCGCGGCTGAAGCAGCTTTGCTGCTCTGGCTGCGCGGTCCAAAAGTGTGTCTGACGCGCGTTGGGCGGAGCTACTCTATCCTTTCTTTGCCTTGCAGCTATATTTGCTGTGATCAGTGGGAATAAAGTAATTTTGATATGTTTTTAAGTGAGAAAGTCCACCTGAAAACTTAATTCAACAGCAGCCTCTGGCCAGGTCGTCTCCTCGCGGTTCACGGCGGCAGCTGGTAGGTGTTTTTCATCAAAATAATCCAAACTGCAGGCAGCAGGATAATAAAAGCTGTCAGTTACCAGATCAGCTTCTCTGACTGGTTGATGTGGCGCGTCTCGAGCAGCAGCACGTTTGCGGCGCGTCAGATGCTTAAACGCGCCCGAGGCGCTGCGCCTGCTGCTCAAAACGCGCTGCGGGACCTTTTGCTGCGCCTTGACGCGCGTCAACCATTGATTTTGCATGTAAACTCGCTGCTTCTGCTGTGAAAGCAGCCTTACTTTGAACGGCCGGTTCACACCGATGTCGAGCGGTTGAAGTTCCTTTGTCAGACCTCCCGGAATAATAGCGAGCACAGCGTTCATTTGTTTCACCTTGTCTTTCACATCGGCTGTGAGATGGGCACGCATGGAGTCACAGATTAACAGCGATGGTGATGCGTGGAAAAAAAACACCTGGTCTCCTTACATACACCTCCCTCAGCCACGCTCTCATCATCTCCTCAATGACTGTTAGGGTAATTGGCTTCTCTACAGTCCCCTTAGGTGTGAGTGTGTCTGTGAATGGTTGTTTGTCTCTGTTTTGCCCTGTGATGGACTGGCGACCTGTCCAGGGTGTACCCCGCCTGTAATCCATTGACAGCTGGAGATAGACACCATCACCCCTCGCCACCCCGTTTGGGATAAGCGTGACGGAAAATGGATGGAGATGTGACAAAAAAAACAAGTCTGGACCTCATCCAGAACCTGGTTTAGTTCTCAATAATAAGCTGGATAAAACGACAAAGTGATGCAGTCTGAGCATCAAGAAGACAAGAGTGAGTCTCCAACAGAGAAGATGATCCCAAAAAAGATGATACCCATCAGTATGAGGGCCAGGCAAAGAGTTATTCACTGATTATGAGAAAAAAAGGCATATTTTTTATGAGATTTAAATCGTAATATAACTAAAATTAAGTGATGATATTATGAGAATAATGTTGCAACATTGGTAGAATAAAGTTATGAAATTAAAGTCCTGAAAAAGTGATAAAAATGAGACAATAAAATCATAATATTCTAAAAACAATCGTAGCAAAACGAAAATTTAGGATTTAAAAAAAAGGAAGCAAAAAAATGAAGCAGAAGCAGAATTAAGAATAGAAGGGTTGGAGAAAAGGACCAGGTTGTACAAATGAGGAAAAAAAAGCTTTGCTGTTATCTCAGATTTCATCTCAAAATGTATTTTTCATATTTTTTCCCAAAAATTTCTTTAAAGCTACAGTGTGTAATAATTACAGGCATATAAATTCAGAAATTTAATATATTATACATAACTATGTTATTTATCATCACCTATGAGCTCAGCCTTTTAACCATAACATTTGCGTTGCCTTAGAATTCGTTATTTATAATTACATAGGAGCGGGTCTCGCAGCCATGGAGGCTGACATCTTTGCGCTACGGCAGCGCAGAGGCAACAAACTAGCGATTGCGAGATCTCCCATGACGCTCGAAAATAACTACGGCAAGTTGAGAGAGATGAACTGAGGCGGTACTGAACAGTAGATGGCAGTATTATGCCTGAGAAGCGTTTAGTCTGCCTGAAACCAAAGAAGAAGAAGAAGCAGGTATACTGCGCCTCGGTAACAAGAAAGGTAAACAAGGCGGCAGGCGTGAGTGACTTTGCAAACTGTTTGGCACTGTGTGGCCAAACATCAGACGAATGGAGGATCATGCCTACTCTGTATCACAACGAAAAGCGGCGGACACCGAACCCCCGTCATCTAAGAAGCGGAAACACGACGAGAATAAACGCAAGAGTGACAAGAAACGGCAAAAAACACGGATCAACATTGGCACGGCATTTACACGATGGAAGTCACTGATGGAGGAAAAAGGTTTTCAAAGTGACGCTCAAGTTGCCAGTTTTCTCTTGGACAGGTAATTAATCCTATACACACAATTGTCTAATATCACTGCAGTTTTTGGAGTACAGGATGCTCAGACCTGTCTAAAACAATAACATGCGGCGTGATGATGCTGTTACTCTCCAGTATACTTATTCAGCAACGTCCCTGACGTTTCACAGGTAATGATTCAGTAATTTTCTGTAAAATAATTTTCTGGATATATACCTCGGTTACTTCTCTCCGGCTCCTTTGGAGATCTTCAAGCCTTTCCTCCTCTGCTCTAGTCACCCCGCTGGCTCCCCTCTCTCGCCTGGCCCCAGCTGCACGCTCACCCCGGCCTCTCTGCCCTCTTCCTTTCCCTCTTCCTTGCCTTGTAACCCCCGTGCCACAAACAAGACTTGGACTCTGTTAACGGGGAATATATATTCTTCCAGCGAACACAATCTCGCTGTTAAACTAATGACTACAATTACTTCGTCTGTTTATATCACCATGCAAAGCAGCTCACCAAAACGTCACAACGACGTAGAAAAAATAACGGGTATATTTATTATCTTAAGTCTACATGAAATCTATACCCTACACAGACTAATGAAATACTATCTGTAAAATTATCTATGTAAACAAACCTCATCACTTGAGAGGGTAGGTGATGCGGACGTCGTGGAAGACATTTTGTCCTGTAACGCTCGCCGTACTGTTGGGGGGGAGAAGCGGTGGGGGGGAGACGTTCATGTTGCTGCAGTCTGCAGTCTGACCGCTAGATGTCGCTGAAAATTACACACTGTAGCTTTAAACTGATTTTAGATTTTTATTATTTTTTTTTTTAAGAAAACCTGAAATTAAGTGATAATATTATGAGAATAATGTTGCAAGATTAGTAGAATAAAGTTATGAAATTAAAGTCCTGAAAAAGTGATAAAATTGAGACAATAAAATCGAAATATTCTAAAAAAAATCGTAGCGAGACGAAAACACGTAATTTAAAAAAAAAAATTGATGTAACGTCATGAGAAAATTACAGCATTACTAGAAAAGTGTTAATATTACAGGAAAATATGTTATTTTATAAAATGAATGAATTTGTAACATGAAAATAAACTTAAATGTAATTAACAATACAGAAAAAAAAGTTCTGAAAAAAAAGAAAAAGATGTAACATTACCAGAAAAAGCAACAATAAAAAGTAAAAGTTGCGACATTGTGAGAATGAAGTTGTAACTTTACCAAATTAAATCTGAATGTGATAATAAAGTCATAACATCACGAGAATAAAATTACACAAATAAAATTGTAACATTATGAGAACAAAGTCGTATTATTATGCAAATCAAGTTATAATATACGATAATTAAGTCTTAATATCATGAGAATAATTTTTTTACAGTAAAAGTATAAGTTCCAAACATTATTTAAAAAATTTTGGAACATTAAAGCTACAGTGTGTAATTTTTAGCGACATCTAACGTCCAGACTGCAGACCACAGCAACATGAACATCTCCCCCCCCACCGCTTCTCCCCCCCAACAGTACGGCGAGCGTTACGGGACAAAATGTCTTCCACGACGTCCGCATCACCTACCTTCTCAAGTGATGAGGTTTGTTTACATAGATAATTTTAATACTGCCATCTATTGTTCAGTACCGTCTCAGTTCATCTCTCTCAACTTGCCGTAGTTACTTTCGAGCGTAATGGGCGATCTCGCAATCGCTAGTTTGTTGGCTCCGGCTGCCGTAGCGCAAAGATGTCTGCCTCCATGGCTGCGAGACCCGCTCCTATGTAATTATAAATAACGAATTCTAAGGCAACGCAAATATTAAGGTTAAGAGGCTGAGCTCGTAGATGATGATAAATAACATAGTTATGTATAATATATTACATTCCTGACTGTATATCCCTGTAATTATTACACACTGTAGCTTTAAGTCTTAATATCATGAGAATAATTTTTTTACAGTAAAAGTATGAGATCAAAATATTATTTCAATAATTTTGAAACATTAGGAGGAAAAGTCGTATTCTTACGAGAAATAAATTGTAATTCTGGTAATATAGTGACTTTATGTAAAAAAAAGCAATTGTTAGCATTGTTTTTTTTTTTTTTTTTTTTTTTTTTGCTGATTTATTGTTGAACCAAAGTCAACACAAGGTAAAGTCCAAAAACAAAATAGAGTAAAACAAAAAAAAAAATAAAAACAGGAGACGTCAGAGTAAAACACACGAGAACCAAGGAATGACGAGAAACATATGGTAGACAGAAACAATGGGAGTGCTAATTATCTGATAGGGAGCAGTTGTAGACAGAAGTTACCAGAAGGAGCTAAGAGAACACAAGGGGGCAACAGAGAGCAACTCAAAAAATACCAAACTACATAAATATAACACAAAATGGAAAAGAAACCAGTGAAATAGAAACACTGAATAACAGAAATCAAAGTGGAACTGAAAACTTTTTTTTTTTTTTGTTAGCATTGTTCTAATATTCAGTGGTACATAACTTAGGTGAACAGACTAGTAGAAGGAGATGTGTACCTTCAAACAGGTTGTCGCTGCCGTTCTTCAGCAGACACTGGATGTTCAGAGGGATGAAGAGCTGGGCTCTCAGCGGGTCTCCGTACAGATAGGATGTCAGCGCGAAAGGAAACTCTAGAACAGGAACCAGCAGGAAGCCACAGGAGGCTGCTTTCCTGTGCCAGCCTTGCACCTAACCAAAAAAAACCAAACATTTTTAAAAAAGTCCCAGGACGCGTTTGTTGTTCAATCCAGAATCTAAAGTAGTTTGTTTTTTTTCTGCAGGACTCATTTATATCCAGTTAACCCCCATTTTGTGCCACATCTCAGTACCATCTCAAACAGCACTGCAGCTGTGACGGCCATCCAGTGGAGCTTGATCTCAAAGGCAGCATTAAGAGAGAAGTTGCCATGGTAATAACAGCTGCACCACTCGGTTCGGTCGCTGCGGTTGTTGACGTCCACATCCAGGGTGACCGTCTTCTGCTCCGGGACCGTAGCCGCTGCAGGATAGATGGACAGCGGGAGAGGGAAACACGGACATAAGGGAGTAAAAGAAAGTGAGCTGGACGGAGTTAAAGGAGACAGAGAGGGCGGCTGATGCAAAGCAGTGCTTGAAAGCATTGGGGGGGGGACTAGCAGTAAGCACTTCAATGGATCTCATTAGTTTGCACCTCCTGATCTGGTCTTTTATGTTTTTCAACCTTTATGCTCAGCTTAAAGGTGCTTGTTAACATTATTTAAATGTTTTTTCTTTATTTATACACCAGTAACTGGTTGCATACAATGTTTTTCTGAAATATTACCACGTCCTGCTGGCATAATGTTTGTTATTTGTGTGTTTTTGTTGTGTTTTCATTCAAATTGTTAGTAAATATAAACCCCCCTGCCAAATTATTCTAGCCTGGGTGCCGTTCCGAACTTAGTCCCGCCCACAACGTTTGAGGTCGGGAAGTTCGGTCTGGCATTGCTCAATAGTAGCGCGAGTATGCTCGCCCAATATCTGGCGGGCCAATCAAATTGTCAGGGTGGGCTTTATACGATGATGGACAGATGATCAACAGTAACGTAATCAACCACGTCACCAAAGTGCGCTTGGGTGACAACAACAATGGCTGCCGCTGGAGAGTTGAGGTGAGTAGATTCTGCTATTAGGTCTGTTCTAGAAGATATCGACAGCAAATTAATTTTAAAAGAGGAACAGAGAAACGCGATCAAGGCTAACCTTCTTGTTCTAGGCGTGAAACTGCACGCTTTGATTTTTGTTGACAACAACTATGCATTGCTTAACATACGTCACGCACTCCGTTGCTCTTATTGGTTGTAGGTCTATCCAATTGAGTGCAGAGGCATTTTTTTCCTGGTTTGTTCAAAACACGCCCCATAATCACAGCTCTATGGAGCAGCATCAGACTCATATTCTGACTAGAAATGAGTAGGACTACATCAGGCTAGCTGGTGCCTATCTCTAGCTGTCAATGGGCGAGAGGCGGGGTCCACCCTGTACAGGTCGCCAGTCCATCGCAGGGCGACACAAAGACAAAGCAACCATTCACACTCACACCTAACGAGAATTTAGAGAAGCCAATTAACCTAACAGTCCTGTTTTTGGACTGTGGGAGGAAGCCGGAGTACCCGGAGAGAACCCACGCATTCTCAGGGAGAACTAGCAAACTCCATGCAGAAAGACCCCGGGCCGGGAACTGAACCCAGAACCTTCTTGCTGCAAGGCAGCAGTGCTACCCACTGCGTCATTGAGCTGCCATTTTTTTTTTTTTTTATCTTAAATACAAAATAATTACATCATTTTTAAAATTTTGGTGCTCCAAGTTTGTCACTCAGTAAGGCGTGTTTTAGAGTCTACACTCCAGTTAACGATTAAACGATTAGTTGATGATTATTTCAATACTCACCATTATTTGTTTCAGACGTTAGTCTTTCTTTTACATGGCTGGAATAACTAACTTCCCCTCGTGTCTCACATTCTGACATCATACTATGGATCATTCTGACCTGGACTACAAATCAGGATTAGAAATATTATTTAAATTATTTAATCAAGTCAATTTTTTTAGGATGTATGCAGTGTAGTTTCAGGCAATGTATAAAATCCCTACATTATTTAATAACAGGGTCACTATTGTTGCATTGTAACAACAGTGACTAGCTAATTATTATAGTTTGTTTCGGATATGCACGGCAATATTAATATTAGGATAAAACATTTGAAATGCAGGCAGCTGATGTTCACTACAGCATTTAAGTGATACAACAGAGTTAAAAAAAGGAATAAAAAAAAATTAAGCAGAAGCAGAATTAAGAATAGAAGGGATGGAGTGCGGAAGAAAGGAGCAGGTTGTACACCGCAGCACTACTGACCCACAGCCACCGACACCACAGCATGCATCCAAACCCCAACATGACTACAACCGGATCAGCTCCACAGTTATACCGGGTCCCATGCACTGATCGGACTGTGTGGAGGATGGAAACTTCCATCGCATTCATCTTTTTCTGTTCTTTTGGGGAGACTACAGCTACATCAGCTGCATGCAGGAGACAAACACCATTATGGAGGGAAATTCGTTCCATTATTGTTGCAAGGAATGAGCACACTTTATAAATGCAATTTTTTAAAGAAACCCATTCTGTAAATTGATAACTCAAACAAATACAATCCTGAAATAAAAATTTAAAAAAAAATAAATGCTTTTTTAGAGTAAATTTGCTGTTATCTCAGATTTGATATCAAAATGTATTTTTCATATTTTTTTTCCAAAAATTTCTTTCAACTTATTTTATATTTTCTTTTTTTCTTTTTTAAAGAAAAAAAAAGTTGAGTTTTATTAACTTTCACAGATCACATCCTCTAAACATGTGGGGGCGGAGTTTCCTCTGAAGCAAAGAACAAAGATGCATTTCTATTGCCCTGCATGACCGATGGCAACAACATTTTTATTGGTAAATGTTAGCATTTGTATCGGCCTGAGGTGAAGACAATTATATATTTCTGGATTGGATTTTTTTGTATTTAAATTTACAAAATGTGCATTTTTTTAAATTTCCATTTAGAAAATGGATGCTTTGCTTGCAACAAAAATGTAATAAATATCACTCCATACTACCAGCTGTTTGATGAGGATCCGCAGCCTGCTTTGAGGAGAACCGGATCCTGTATCTCTTTGTCACGTGAATAAAAAAAGATAAGGACTGTGAGGATGATGATGTTATCAAATGTTAGACGAGGGAAACTTTGTTAATCAGCAGAAACTTAGTTTGTAAAGCTCAATGTTGTCAGTTTGGACAAAATATTTAAACAGGACGTTAACCTGGGAATAAAGAGATGTTCGCTGGAGCTAAAACCAGTGACAGCTCAAAACGAGATCCAAAAAAACTTATTTTACTTGTAAAAAGAATAATTTAAAGGAGAAGTCCGGTCATATTCAGAATACAAACTTCTGAAAGTACTTTAAATATGAAATTATTACATACTTTTCAATAAATTATAAGTGTTTTAATCAAGAGTAATTTTCATTTGAATGCGCTTTACTGGAGGCATCCATGTTTGTCAAAGAACACTACTGCCACCTACTGGTTTGTGACGTCACGGTGCGGTATCAGCTGTTGATCAAGTCCCAGTGCTGTATCTGGTGTTTGTCACAACGCGCTATTATCCAAGTCATCTTGAAAACATTCTTCTTCCAAATGTTGGCTACATATTACGGGTTTTTTCTCTGGCCAGAAGTTCGATGGCAAATCCTCCCTCTTCAAGTTGGCGAGCCAACGACCAACCCGTCCGTGGAGGATCAGGAATCAGAAAGGTGGAATAACTCTTTTTTTCACTTTTATCCAGTGTATTACAACATTTAATTGTCAGTTTCACTATAGCTCTGGTGAATTTCAATGGTGAAGTCCTCTGGAAATCTTCAATAATTGTTGTTGATTGCAGATGTGTCTAGTAGTTCCCATTGATTTTGCTTGTAAAGCGGGGAGAATGGCGCTAGGCTTACCGCACCGTGACGTCACTGCTGGAAGATGGCAGGAGAGAGGGGTTACTATATTTGGGCAAAAATGGCCGCTCCCAGACTCAGTGATCGCAACGAAAAATATTAAATTTTTTTACTGATTAACGCTAAATTCATGAAATCACTGCAAACATATTAGTTTTAGGTATAAATAATGATCCACTGATCGTTCCTTACTGACCAGACTTTTCCTTTAAAGCAGTCCGTGCTGTTATTTAGAATTTATTCACCTGTACGTCATCTCTGCTGCGCTGAAACCAAAATCAAGCTGCATAGAGAAGATAAATATGCAGATTAATCTGTTGCTTTAGATGGTTATGCTCGAGTCAGCCTTCAGTCTCAGGTCCTCACAAACATAGCAAAAACTAGTTATCTGTTAATGTTTTTTTTTGTTAAACACGTGATACCTCTACCATAAGAACGCATTGTGAACGTCTCTGTTTTTATATGGAGTTAATTTTGTTCCATTATTGTGGGAAACAAAGAACACTTTCTAGATAATAGCAAAGAATAAACATAAAGATCAATCCAGAAATTAAAGTTATTAATCAAAAAAGATAACTTTGTTTCCCCAAATATAAGGAAAACTTGAATCAGACCTCATGTTCCAACTCGCTCGCTTTTCAATTATAGATGTTTGGTTATTATACAATAACTCTGGATCGGCTTACGTTGTTCTTTCCCATATTTCCACTGTGGTGGAAGCTTTAATGTACAAAGCAATTGTAACTTGCCTTTCCAAATAAAAATATTTAAAAAAAAAAAGATAACTTTGTGGTTTTCTTAGATTTCTTTTTCATTTTTTGTTTCAAAATTTTTAAATATAATTTTTTTTTTCAGATAAGTTTTACCATTTGCATTCTTTCCAATTGTGTTTTAAAAATATAATTTTCTGTACTTTAAGCTTAATCCAAGCCTCTCCAATAAAACCAATAAAAATGTGTTGCTAATGTTCAGCAGACCACAGAAGTGCAGAGAATTTGATCTGTAAAATATAATATGAAAGAATAAAATTTGCAAATCGTAATCCAGAATAAAAAGAAAACTGAAACATTTCAATAGTAAAACAAATATATATAGATATATAAAAAAAAATGGAAATTGTCAAAATTACTCCCAAAACCTTTTGTCTGCATCAAGACGTTTTTCAAAGTTTAATTTCTGGATTGGATTTTTTTTAAATATTTTTTATATACAAAACATGTTATTTTGCTTGGAACAATAATGGAACAAAAGGCACTCCATATCTTGGGTCAGATGCCATCATATCTAAGGACAAGTAATCAGTCCTCAGTCCTGCATCAATCATGTTTAATTCTTAGTGAAATTTGCCCCAAACTGAAAACATTGAGCTTTTTGTTGAACAGATCAGAGAACTGGCACGTAGCAGCTGGAACGCTAACAGGTTAACTCTGCTGATGATAAACCCATTAATAAATAGGTGAGGCAGTAAAAGAGGGTGATTTATAATCAGGATTTTTTGTGACTCCGTAATACTGGACCCAGACGCTTCTCAAAGCAGGCTTTGCTGGGATCCACATAGACTGGATGAGGAGAAGACGTTTTCCTTTGCGGTGCAGGCTGAGAGGACCAGGCTGGGTATACCTAACAGTGCGGCGGCCTGGCTGCGTCCCCCAAAGCTGCGGCTGAAGGAGCTGTGCCTACTTGCATAGGAGGCTGGCCGGCTGGGGAGCCAGGGAAGGAGGAAGGCCGGGAGGTCGCAGGGCCGTCGCTCCTCCAACACAAAGGCCACCTCAAACCACTTCCTCTGGAAAAGAGCAAAATCCTCCACGGCTGCAGTCGACCAGCCACCAGCGGCTGGAGCCTGAAGCTGGGAGGTCTGGCCTGCAAAAGGTAAAAAAAGCTCTACATGAAACAAAGAAATATATCCCCGTGCAGGATAGCGCAGTTTATCTACCATCTTTTTCTCCTACGATCCGGTAGAAGTAGAAGCCGTAGACGAAGGTACGCATGGCGTCTCCTGAAGCATGGGCCACCACACCTTCATCCAGCATTTTCTGGACGGAACAAAACAGGGACCAGACTGAACATAGAAACACCAGCAATAAAGGTTTGACATCTGAAAATACTACTAATGAGGAAGTTTTCATTAAAGCAGGTCGTACACTGAACAATATTTTCAATCTTTGTACTCAGCTACAGCTCTAACTATGTGAAAACCGCCAGGTTTAAAAGTTCACAGCTAATGATGCATGTTTTTCAGTGTTGGGCACGTTACTTTGAAAAAGTAATTAGTTACAGTTACTAGTTACTTCTCCCAAAAAGTAACTGAGTTACTAACTGAATTACTCCACAATAAAAGTAACTAGTTACTAGTAAAAGTAAAAGTAACTATTGCGCTACTTTTGCGTTTCTCTCCCTGGTAACCCTCCCCACCCAGTAAGTAACGCCGTTACTTTCAACGCCGTTAGTCCCATCACTGATGTTTTTGCACTAAACGCTCTGAGATTTAACTGCTCACACCATATGTCCAAAAACCACGTCGGACTCAGAGCCGAATAACCGGGCTGGTCAAGCCAAACTTAGACTGTGCGTTAATGTAAAGCAGGAGGTCTGAAGCTGCTACCCACGCGACCCGACCCCGGATAAAGCGGAAGAGGATGGATGGATGGATGGATGGATGGATGGATGGATGGATGGATGGATGGATGGATGGATGGATGGATGGATGGATGGATGGATGGATGGATGGATGGATGGAGCAAAAGAGCTGCATGTTGCAGACCCCTGGCTTAGGCATTATACGTTTCAACTTCGGCCTAAAAACCTTTCGGTCAGGCATCTTCTAGCACCTTCTATTCTTTAAAGAACACGCTCTCATATCGTATCATGGAGAAGAACTTCCAAAAATGGGTGTCATGTGGTCTAAGTGTTTGTAATGACAGAAGAAATAAACTACTACCAAAAACTACTAGTACTACTACTACTACCACTACAACTACTAACTCGGCTCGTATCTCTACGTTTACAGCAGGATTCGCTCATAAAAACCTCAAAGGCCGAATGAATTTAAGACTGAAAGTCGGCCTGATAGCGGAGAGGAGAAACGATGTTGAAGCAGTAAGAAACCTCCAGCAGAGCCAGGCTCAGTGTGAGCGGTGAAGGAAAACCTTTACCTGCATTATATCCACAGCCATCCCCTGAGTGGCCACGCCCTCCACGTTGTTGACCAGCCAGTGAACCACTTCGGCGCTTATGAAGCAGTTGAGTGGGAGGCCTTTCTGTTCAGGAAGAATCTGCACACCGGTTCTGAAATAGAGAACAAACACTGAGACCAGAGCCACAGAAACACAGAGATGGACCGATTCATCGGCCGGCCAATGCTGGAGGCCGACCTGAGTCAAGTCGGCCCCCCCACCTTCTTCAAATCAGACAGAATTAGTGTCAAACTTTTGACTGGTTTGTGCAGCAAAAATTGTTGTTTGAGCTGCTATCATTTTAAAGATATAAAGAGATGTTTCTAGAGGTCATCAAAGGTCAACCAGCCCCCCCACCTTCTTCAAATCAGACGAAATGGGTGTCAATTAACTCAGCTCCATTTGTGCTGCTTCGGCTTTGAAGATATTAATGAAAATTCAAAGGTCAAAAGGTCAACCAGCCCCAAATTGGTGTCAAACGTTTGTGCTCGTCTGTAAAGATATAAAGAAATGTTTCTATAGGTCATCAAAGGTCAACCAGCCCCCCCAACCCCACCCGTGGCAGCCGGCCCATAGGGGGCGCTGGGGCACCGCCCTCCCTGATAAGAAGAGAGAAACGTAAAATATATTTTTAGAAATTAACTCATAAATGTCAGTTTTACTCTCTAGAGTGTGTACCTATAAGCAAAACAAATTATATAAACTACATTTCCCAACCTACTGTCATTCATTTGTGGATTTCCACAGACAGACTCCTACCGTCTCTGTCTTGGGGCTGTGATCAGACTGCCCCACATTTGCATAGAATCTGCCAATCATGTACTATTGCTAGGTGAATTTAATAATTTAATGGCCAATCAGCGTCTCAGAATTTTATGGTCTTGGGGCGCTGAAAATACTGCCCTTTAACAGGCTTCTGCACCCAAGCGCAGGTGCAGAGTGACGATGGCGAATGTAACGAACGAGATGCAGCTTTCACCAAATTCGGTGAGATCCTTATTTATCTACCCGTTTGCCAGAAGAACATCCCTGTTGTAGGATATGAAAATTTCCTGTCATGGTTATTGTGACTGTGACGAATCCACCTCGTCACTTAAAATAACCTCTAACTTTGCGCGCCACACAGACATTCCTGTTATACTGTGTTTGTGAGGACCAATACGCTCGCGCTGAGCCCAGTAGCTCCATTAACTTAAAACACACAAGCTGTTCCTGGTTACCTGCTGGCGTATTGAGGGTGCACACTTAATATTTCAGTGGGGTTAGCCGTGTGTGTGTGTGTGTGTGTGTGTGTGTGTGTGTGTGTGTGTGTGTGTGTGTGTGTGTGTGTGTGTGTGTGTGTGTGTGTGTGTGTGTGTGTGTGTGGGTGTGGGTGTGTACGTGTTTATGCTACGGGGACTTGTCATCTTCAGTCTGGCTGCGTCTTTGCTGGGTTCAAACCCAGTTTGGTGTAATTGAATAAGTCAATGAATCTGTGTAAAAGAATTAAGTTATAAAAATTATATGTTTGTTTTTGTACATCAATTGTTTGTGGAGGTAATATATGGACAAAACTGATTTATGAGAAGAAATCAGAAATAAGAGAGCCTGAGGGGAGGGGCTTAAACTATTTAATGAGGGCTCTGGGAAGAAGAGCAGCCATTTTGTTTTCTGTTTCTTTGTTACATTGCTGGTAACTGGAGGGAGGCTGAGGCCCAGAGTATCTTGCACATGTTTAGTTTCTTTTGCACCCTGTTTTGAGTTTTTGAGCACAATAAATCACCAACACCGGTAACCCGACTGAGCCTGGATTCTTGGAGGCCAAAGAACCCCGTCACAGTGACCCAAATCATCACTGTTACTGTTATTATATAGTAAATTAAATCATTACTGTTAAATTGTATTTATTGTCCAATTGTTTATTTGAATTCTTATTCCAGATTAGTTGGAGACATACACTAGGCTATATCAGCCCCACCAAAAATATTTTTCACCAGTCGTCACTGAACCCCACCCCCACCCACCTTCTTCAAATGAGCCAAAATGGGTGTCGATTAACTCGGCTCCGTTTCTGCAGCAAAAATTTTCATTTATGTCGCTCTCATTTTTTTACAGTTTAAAATTTTATAATCATAGGTTTGCAACTTATAATTTATATGAAATTCAGAGTTTCAGAATGAACAAATGTTCACTGACCTTTGATGGCTTCTAAAAACAATTATTAATATCATTAAAATGATAGCAGTACAAAAAAATGTATATATTTTAAAATACGCATTTTTACATTTTTAATATATTAATTTTAAATATTTTATATTTAAAATTAATTTTAACATTTTTTTATGGCAAAATTTTTCATTTGCACTGCTACCATTTTAATGGTATTAATGATATTTTGTAGAGGTCATCAAAGGTCAGTTAACATCTGTTTTTGCTGCACAAACGTTTGATACCAATTTTGTCTAATTTGAAAAAGGTGGGGGGGCTGGTTGACCTTTTGACCTTACATTTTCATTAATATCTTCAAAGCCAAAGCAGCACAAACGGAGCTGAGTTAATTGACACCCATATCATCTGATTTGAAGAAGTTGGGGGGGCTGGTTGACCTTTGATGACCTCTAGAAACATTTCTTTATATCTTTAAAATGATAGCGGCACAAACGAAAATTTTTGCTGCACAAACCAGCACAAAAGTTTGACACTAATTTTGTCTGATTTGAAGAAGGTGGGGGGGCCAACTTCACTCAGGTTTTAGGCCGATATTAATGTTGCTTGTTGTATCGGCATTTGCTGAGTCATTGGTGCATTTAGCAGCCCTTAAAGGTATACTATGCAACCGGTGTTGATTTTCCAGCGAGGCTCCCCCCAGAGGGCGAAAGTAAAAGTGCACTGTCGTAAATATGCTCAGCTGTTCTCCTGGTTTCTCCGTCAAGCCAGGCGCGGTTGTTTTGAGCTTAGCAGACAGGCGAACGCAACGAATGACTAACACAGTGAAAGTATGAACATGCACACAGAGAGAGAGAAACCATTGCGCACTTTCATCTGGTTTGGTCTGCAGCGGTTTCCGTAGACTCGTGAACTCGCAGGTGCGCGCTTGTAGGAAATCCTATACGCTACTGTTTATGCTCTAAAAACATTCAAAAGGACTTTGTTTCGAGTAAATTATGGACGCTACCCACTCAGGACACTTGGAATACATTGGACGAGCAGTATGGAGGAATATTGACACGTTTTTGTGGACTTTTATGGACCTTTCTGTCTCGGGCGCCATAGACCTCCATTATTTGAATGTCAGCAGACAGTAAGAAGCCTCCCAGATCTCCAGATGCATTTGAGATATCAAAAAAGTACTCCAGAGTGTTGTTCAGCATGGGGGTGAGTAGAAAATGAAGGCTAATCATGTTTTGGGTGTACTATTCCTTTAAGGATCAAATCTCTTTCGGAGTCTCAGCATATTATTACCTATATTTGCTAATTTTTTTACATTTTATTGGCGATCTAAAGTAACCGAAAGTAAAAAACAATCATTGTGAGTCTTGAAGGAAAGTACTGCTTTCTAAGACGGACTGAGCTCTGCCATTTAACAAGGTGACACAAAAAGTTTCTGCTTATTTTCATTATTTTTATTAAGACCTGAGGGCGGGCCACCTTTAGCAGCACAGTTCTAGATAGTTCATGATATTAAAACAAGGCAGAGTCTGAAAAGAATTCTGCCATAATGCTGGGATGGTGGTTTCTGCAGCTGTGTAAAAGAGACACCTCACCCATGTAAAAATAAAATAAAAACAACACCCTGGTCTCTTACGTGGGATGCTTGATGGCCTCGAGGATCTCCATTAGCGTTGATGAGGAGGACAGAGAGAGAGCCCCGGCAGCAGACTGCCCACTGTGGAGAGATGGACGAGTAGCGCCCGCTTTAGACCCAGGCTGCAATTCTAACATCATCCAAGTTTCCAATTCACTATCAGACATTATGTCCCATAATATTAAAAACTTTTTTTTACAAGTACAGAGCAACGAAATTAACTCTCTGCATTTATCCCATCGCCTTGGGGAGCAGTAGGCTGCCATCGTGTCGCGCCTGGGGAGCAGTGTGGGGCTTAAGGGTCTTGCTCAGGGACCCAGAGTGGCAGTCTCTGGGAGTAGGGCTTAACTTCAGAACCTCAGGATTCCAAGTGCAATGCCCTAACCACTAGCCCGCCACTCTTGCCCAAGGACCCACACTGGAAGCTCTACTCCCCCCAGCTGGGATACAAACGCAGGCCTCCTGTTAGCAGGACTTAAGCTGAATGATTTACTTATTGGAAAGCTGCATCTGTTTGCAGCAGAAGTTAAAGGGAAATGCTGTTTTTTTTTTTTTTTTTACATTGGCCCCTTGATTTTACGTTATTACATCATGTTCTACTCACCCATATGAGTCTTGTGTCATTTGGAGCCGTTATTAAGATATTCCGTTCCTATGGGCAACGACTTGAAGGCACAAACTAAACTGTTCATCATTTAATCTTTATGGTACGCCAGCATTCAGAACATGGAGGCCAATCACTGTCCCCCAGACATCAGCTGTTATATTTTTGATATTCAAATCTTTTAAAAACGAAGCGGCGCGTGTATGACGTCATCCGTGCGCCGGCTTCCATTCATCCCTCCTGTCCACTGAACTGCTGCTAGTTTTACTCACATTCCTGGAAGATGTCTAGTGCTACTACCACAGATGATCTCGCTCTAGAAATGGAGTTGAACGATTCAGATTAGCTAGACGGATGAACAGAAGGAGTAGAGCGTAGCTGCCTGTGGCCCAGGCTTCCTGTTACGACTCCAGTCTGCATGCGCGGGTGACGTCATACATATAATATAAAAGATATAACCGTGGATGTCAGGGGGAAAGTGATTCGCCTACATGTTATGAATGCTGGCGTACCATAAAGAATAAATTATGAACAGTTTAGTTTGTGCCTTCAAGTCGTTGCCCATAGGAAGACGTTACTTGTATATAACCTAACGGAATATCTTCAGAACAGCTCCAACTGACACAAGACTTATATGGGTGAGTAGAACATGATGAAATAACGTAAAATCAAAGGGCCAAATGTAAAAAAAAAAAAAAAAAACGGCATTCCCCTTTAAGAGTAATGACTTAGCGGTGACCTGGCATCAGAGTTTGCCGTTTCCCCCGCAGGCAGTGGTGCTCCTGCTGTCTGTCCCGGCTGTACGCCCTTCTCTGCCGGCTCAGTGGTTTCCACAGGAAGCTGCACCAATTAAAAACACTCTCACTAATAAACATGGACTTAATGATAAGAAAACAGTGGATGTTTAAGCTGAAATCATAAGAAAATAAGATTACTATTACTAATTTCTGACAGAAAGGCGTGTATCCTAGCAACTGCATCAACTGCATCATGCAGACAACATACAGGTGAAAAAGGGTTAAATTCCTACATACATGCATCTACGGTAACAGCAGCAAGGATTCATTCATATAAAGAGTTTCGGCACTTTAAGAGTTGAAGTCATAAAAAGCAGTAAATGCAGATTCATTAGTCAGTGTTTAGATAGAATATGGAGTAACTTTTGATCCATTATTGCTGAAACTGAGGAACATGTTTCGTGAATGGAAATAAAAAATAAACAAAAACGATATCCAGAAATGAAAGTTTGAAACACATATTTAAATAAGTAAGAGTAACTTTTCTGTTATCTCAGATTCTATTTTTGAAATTTTAACTTTGTCCATTTATATTACAATAAATAATTATATTTTTTCAGCATTCAGGTTTTAGCTTTTAAATTTTTTTTTTTTCCCAATGTTATACTTTCTTGGCCAATCGGCTTTTATACAGCTATTATAAGAATGAAGCTAGTTTTGAATTAAACCAGCCTAGTTTCAAAAAATAAATAAATAAATAAAAATAATAAGGGAGAAAATACAGCAGATGGGTTACAGCATGTAAGCTCAGCAAAGCAGCATTTCATTTTCAAATAGTTAAAATATTTACACATCTTTAGTCGCTACGCTACCTAATTTAGGTCGAGGTTCTAATTTCAGACATGTATAAACTCCTGTGTGGTAAAGAAGAAACAGGAAATCAATGGGCCTCATGCAAAAAACGTACAAATAAATTTGTTCTTAATCAAATCATTTAGGAGAAAATGCCGAATCTCAATGTTAGTGCTCCAGGCTTGCCGTAGGAGTCTTGCTCTGTCAGTGAGCTGTTGTTTCACTAAATTACTACATTTGTTTTACCACAGTGGCGTTGGATGTAGGAGTTTGCCCTGAAATCGAAGGGTTGACGGTTCAAGCCTCAATTCCGACTCAACTCGGGCAAGACACTTCACCTGCATCGTCTACTGATGGTGGTCAGAGGGCCCGGTGGCACCAGTGTACGGCAGCCTTGCTTCTGTTGGTGAACCCCAGGGCAGCTGTGGCTACAATGTAGCTTGCCACCATCAGTGAGTGAACAGGTGAATGACTGAATGTAGTGTAAAGCGCTTTGGTCAAGTCTCCTGACTTGAAAAAGCGCCATATAAGTACAGGCCATCTACCATTTACTTAAACCAATAGTTCATTTTATTTGGTTACATCATTATGTGTCTTTTTTTTTTTTTATTGAAAAAGCTTCCTGGATGGGAAGTGAAACGTCTTCAATCTTGGACTCTATAAATGAAACTGACATTTTTTTATTTGCTGATGAGAAAACTATTGGTCACTAAAGTTGAAGCTGGCATGTTGGTGTTCAGGTGACACTGGTTTAATTTTGTTATTTTGTCAAAAGAAAGAGCAGTCAGTGACTCTATGTGGGATCAAGCTACCGTTGAGATAAAAACTGGTATGCTAGTCGAAAGTTCTTTATAGCTGAGATTCCAAAAAAGTAAAAAAAAAAAGAAAAAATCCACTGGACTTTGTTCCCAAGTTTGAAGATGTTTCTCTTCCCATCCAGGAAGCTTTTTTAATTCAAAATGTCAGAAATAGCGTTGAATTGGAGGCTTTATAGAGTGGACCAACAAAGCCTTGTTTTTGTTTGGAAAGCATGCAAATTGAAACTAACCTGACTCCGCCAGATGGATTTGCTCCGAATATCCATCTGGAAACCTTCCGTTGTAGTAATTTTGGGAAGGGGCGAAAATACTGGTTAGCTGATTGGCCTATGTTGGTGATAGACGGGCCAAATAAACCAATCAGATCAACAAAGCATATGACGTACTGACAGAGCGACGACGAAGAGGAGCCAATTGATAGATAAAACTCTTGCTGAAACCAGTCGGGAGAAGAGCAAAAACATCTTTTCCTCTGAGAAAAGCCTCCAGAGCAGTGTTTTGCTCTTCTTTCAGTGAAGAAATACCCTGTAATTCCGATAAAACTTGCTCGATAGCCACGCTAACGCTAGTTTCATCGGCTGAAGCCGCCATGTTCTTTAGACTGAACTGTCGCGCTTCTCGTTGCGTCACACCTCAACCCGCCTCAAAGTCAACGCTGATTGGACGTTCGTTTGGTGAACGGCTCCAAATTTTTTTTAACGGAGAGTCTCCAGACTGATCTGCGAGTGAAACCTTGAAAGCTCGCGAGATCAGGACGGTCTCACGAGGCTAAATTGAAACACGTCCACCCCTTTGGAATGGGGGTCGTTTGGCTTCTTTGTTAGTCTGCAATGACCCATACCTGTCTATGTCTCTGAAAGGTGGTCATTAGAGGGAATTGTTGGCCTGGCTGAATAGGCTAGGTCTTCTTATCCCCTGTAAAGGTGTGGGGGTTGTGATGATAGCGAGAAAGGATCGACTCAACTGCTGCATTGCAGGTTTTTGAGAGCTGAAATCTGAGCCTACCCCTCTGTTTAAAGTCGTAGGGAAACGGCTGTTCCAGCCGTTGCATTTCCGAAGTCTTCCGAGTGGTGCCCGGCTTTACACAGGGTTTATACAGGAATAAGTAACTCTAATTTAATGCTTTTTAATGCTATTTTAATGCTCTTAGAAATAATTTTAATGCCACCAACAGGTACCCGTCGACATGGCTGCAGCCATGCCCCGGATTCCTCGTTTTCCAACCACTTTTGTTGAAATTGGCTTTCTTCCCCATTCTATAGCTTTTTAAGCAACTCAAGCTTCTTTTGCGAACGTACGTCTTTGCGATCAACCGGAAGCAGTTCCATGCAAATATATCGTGATATATGTCTGACGATATTTTTTTTGTAAAAACATTTTTTTTTTTTAAGAAAACATTTTAAATGCCACAATAAACAAATTTAACTAATTTTAATGCCAATTAAGACCTTAATAAAAAAAAATAACAATTTAATGACTTTTAATGATTTTTAATGACTCATGGAAACCCTGTTTGTAGGAATGAATAAAGTGAATGTGATTGGTCGTTTATCAGGGGGGTTAGTCGGAAGCATCTCGCTAACCAGTTAGCAACTTAGTGCTAGCAGGTTCCCAATGGGAAATTCCATTGGAACCAAGTAGTACTAAATTGGTGACTTAGAAACGACACTGTCAAGGAACGCTATGGACAGAGGAAACATGCAAGAGGAGGAGAGTTTAGTGTCGGAGGTCGTGGATCGCAGTCGTTCAACCGTTGCGTATATTTACCCTGACGTAGTCCTACTCAATTCTAGTCAGAATATGAGCCTGATGCTGCTCCATAGAGCTGTGATTATGGGGCGTGTTTCGAACGAACCAGGAAAAAAAATGCCTCTGCACTCAATTGGATAGACCTACAACCAATAAGAGCAACGGAGTGCGTGACGTATGTTAAGCGAGGCATAGTTGTTGTCAACAAAAATCAAAGCGTGCAGTTGCACGCCTAGAATAAGAAGATGAGCCTTGATCGCGTTTCTCTGTTCCTCTTTTAAAATTAATTTGCTGTCGATATCTTCTAGAACAGACCTAATAGCAGAATCTACACACCTCAACTCTCCAGCGGCAGCCATTGTTGTTGTCGCCCAAGCGTGCTTTGGTGACGTGGTTGATTACGTTACTGTTGATCATCTGTCCATCATCGTATAAAGCCCGCCCTGACAATTTGATTGGACCGCCAGAGAGTGGGCGAGCATACTCGCGCTACTACTGAGCAATGCCAGACCGAACTTCCCGACCTCAAACGTTGTGGGCGGGACTAAGTTCGGAATGGCACCCAGGCTAGCGTATATTAGCTGCAACATACGAATCAAGATGCTATGACCGAAAAAATTTGATTGACAGATGACTGTTGATATGTGATTGGCCGAATTTAGGTGTTCAGGCTGACATATAACAAACTGGCCTGCAGAAGATAATGAAAATAAAAACTGATTTTAAGACAGGATTTTTTTTTTCCTTATATATAGAAATCTTCTAACTTTTGGGACAATAAAGTATGATAACAAGTACATTTACAGAATTATTAAACATTTAAATATGACTTCCCTGCGACTTAAGGTTGCTTTTTCTTCTTAACATAGATGGCTTTCTTCACACCCCTCTCAAACCACCTATTTTCTCTTTCCAAAATGCGACCATTCTGGTCCTCAAAAGAATATCCTTTGTCCATAAGGTGTAGATGAACCGCATAGTCATTATAGTTGGAAGAAACTGAGTATTTTTAATAAGACGGTCAAGAAAGAGTTTTAGGTGATGAAAACATGGGACATATTCCTGGTAATTTTACAACTTACTACGGAGATCAGATGAGTTATGTGGGACAGTCCCACATTTTTCCCTTCTGTCCCTCCATTCAACAAACTGAGCAACCACACGCTGTAATTGGTCTGGTGTTTTTCCCCCTTAAAGGCAGCAATGCAACTCTAACAGGATAGCACAGCATAGCAAGACATTGAAGCAATAATAGAGTTAGTGAGAAGAGCTGCAACACAAAACACACATCAAGCAAAGAGCTTCACCAACGCCCAGAGATCCAGGTACTGACCTGAGAATGATAGATGTAGGAGGAGCGAGGGCTACGAATAAAATCCAAAATAAAGGCAGCGTCCTGTCAGCATACAGGAAGAGCAGAACCCAGAATCAAACTCCAGAAGCCCGGCAACAGGAGGAGAGATGCACAGGAGCAACAAGAGCAATAAGCCCATCACCGAAACGCGAGCAAAGAGCAGCTGTTTGGTCCGAGGACTCGATGTCGATTAGGACAAAATCAGAAAATTCAGTAGAAGCTCAGAAGCCTGAAAAGGAAACGCTGAGGGAGGATAGCTCACCTTACGGGGGCTGTCTACAGCGGCGGCAACAGCAGACGTATCGGCCGCAGCGGAGGAGGGTTTGGTCTGCTGCTGCAGCTCCTCTAGTGTCCTGAAGGGAAACAGAAACGGAAAATCTCTGTGGTTTCAGATTGAGCAGCAGCCGAGGCTTCAGTATTTAAGGAACACTCACTTCTGGTTCTGCTCCATCTCCAGCAAAGCAGTCAAAGCTGATGTGCCCCTCTTTCCTTGTGGAGGCGCTACAGGCTCAGCTGCGTAAGGTAGAACAGGACTGGTGACCTGTAGTCCTTTCATTGGCGTTCCTTTCTGCTATAACAGAGAGACAAGCTGCAGCATTTAAAGGAACCGACAACAGAGAACTATCCAAACGTTTTGAGTAGCAGGGCTGCAGCATCTGGAGGCCGAGTGTCAGCAAACAGCTTAAGAGGAAAGGAGCTGAAAGAAAGGGGCGTTCAGCCTCACCCTGATGATCCTGTCAGAGCGATGCCGCCGTCGTATGCGGTTGAGGCCCTCCAGAAAGCGAATGAAGCCGTCCAGCAGGACCCAGTCCCCACATCCGCCCATCCCAGCACCCGCTCCCTCCCCGTACACGTCCCAGTGCCCCTCACCATCCGCCACCCGCCGAGCCCCTCCAGCGGGAAGCAGAAGGAAGCGCGTCCTCCAGAACTTCAGAGAGTCGATCAGGCTGTTGGCCAGAAAAGAAACTTTTATTGTTTCTATGCTGCAAAAATTAAAGTCTACGTCCAATTTTATTGAATCAATCATAGTTTTTCATTGATCTGAGCAGGTAAGTAAGATTAGGGTTTAAAATAAAAAATAAACAATTCCTTTATCTTACTTTAAGTGCATAGTATCTAAATATGTTTTATGTAGGAGAAAAATACACTGAAAATACACAGATTTTCTTGAGATTTATTTTCTTATAAGAAACCTGGTTAAAGAAAAGAATAAATGTTGGATTCTTAGAGTCTAAGACTTCACAAACTAGTGATGGGTCCAGCAACAGCGATGCGTCGGTGCATACGTTGAGCGTTTCTAGAAACTCATGTGAACGATACAGGAGTTGTTTCTAACTGACCGATTCACTCAAATGTCTTTAAAAAACATATCTGTCAAGTGTCAACATGATGCATCTGCTAAAAAAATGTCTCATCTTTTGCGGTTTACCATTATAATTATCATGAATTTTGGAGGATTAAAGGAATAGGAACGTTTCAGCCGTTGCGTTTTTATTTTAATATTCTCGTTGTGTCATCCTTTTGCTCTCAGTTATCACTCATCTTATCTGAATTAAAGCCCATTTCAAACTGACTCTTAGTTTATTTACTGTTTTTACGGTTCTTTTTGTTTTTGAAATTATGATTTAAAATCATAGTCCACAAACATCCTCATTCACATTTTGCCCTTAATTTTCCTGTTATGATTTATATTAACATTAATTATTCTCTAAATCTTAATATATCAAGGATATTTTCAATTTAAACATAGATTTGGAATGTTATAATATAACTTACAATAACTTAAAATATCTCATTGTACTAGGTCATCAAATCAATTCAGTTCAGTCTGTCAAATAAGCTGCCTGTAGCAAAAACTAATCCATGCGTTTATTTATAATCAAATTGATTCCTGCAGCAGTGTTTTCACAGGTCTGCCTAAAAAGTGGATCAGACAGCTGCAGCTGATCCAGAACGCTGCTGCCCATGTCCTCACTAAGACTAAGAAAGTAGAGCATATCACCCCAGTTCTAAAGTCCTTACACTGGCTCCCTGTATCTCAGAGAATAGACTTTAAAATACTTCTGTTAGTCTATAAATCTCTGAATGGCTTAGCACCTAAATACATCACAGACTTGCTATCAGTGTATCAACCCTCCAGACCACTCAGGTCTTCTGGCTCCAGCCTGCTCTGCAGACCTAGAACCAGAACTAAACATGGAGAAGCAGCATTTAGTTCCTATGCTCCTCTTGTCTAAAACAAACTTCCATAAAACTGTAAAAGTGCGGAAAGCCTGAGTTCCTTTAAATCAAGACTAAAAACACATTTGTTTAGGATTGCCTTCCACCGTTCTAGTTAAACAGTTCAACTAAAACATATTTTCTTTAGTCCAACTGTTTTTAATATTCTTTTTTTGTTTCTGCATTTTTTATTTATCTATTTATTTTTTTTCCTACTTGCTTTGATTCTGTTATATTTTCCTATATTTTAATCATGTAAAGCACTTTGCATTGTCTTTTAAAAATAAATTTACCTTGCCTAAATGACCAGCAGGTGTCAGTATTTTGTGAGACAGTATCAACGCAGAATCCATACAGTTTGGCAATGTGTCGGAACGCTTCAAGAAGCCTCATTAACCCATTGCTAGTGCAAACTATGTTTTCTTATCATGAAAAACCAGCTTAGATTGATAAATGTTTAATCAGGGGTTATATTTTCATATCCACCCTGTGTTTTACATGGTATGATTATGAAAATACGATCTGAGCATTCATGGAGGCACACAAACAATCAAGGTTTACAGATGTTTTGCCTATTTTACACGTGCAAATCGATTTCCACCTGGTTTGTAGATCAGCTTTGTTCGTGCTAAAATGATTGCATCTGTTTTAAATTTTGCAAACCTTTTCAAGATCAGGCCCCTGAAATAGAAGGACAGTTAAATTGAATCCCTGTATATTCATACCCTGGCCAATTTGTCACTCAGCCAAAAAGTTTGATAGGAAACAATAAATGTGACTTTCTCCGCATAACAAAAATGTATGTAACAATTTGTAAATAAATAAATTCTGTCTCATAATTTCTGAGCAGCTTTTTTCAGGTTTCATCATATATTCTGATGGTTATGCTGGGTGATTCTCAGTCATCCAGGTCATAGTAATAAAAAAAAAAAAAAAGAAAAATCAATCCACTGGAGTTTGGTTCCAAGTTTGGAGACGTTTTGCTGCCCATCTAGTAAGCTTTTTCAATTCAAAATGTTAGAAATAGCATTAAGTTATTGTGGCTTAATAGAGTGGACCAAAAACAAAGCTTTGTTTTGGCTTAGATACCCCCACCCCCCTTACAAGGGAACACTAAAACCTTGCCTGTTTAGCCAGGCCAACAATTCCCTTTAACGACCCCCTTTCAGTGACATAGAAAGGTATCATGTATTACATGCTAGGGGTGGAACGGTTCACAAAATCCACGGTTCGGTTCATGGTTTCGTGGTCACGGTTTTCGGTTCGGTTCGGTATATGTTGACTGTTAGCATGACATGTTGGTCCTATTGCTGTTAGCATAAACAAAACGTGTTGCACAATGCTTGCACACTGTTTTTATCCACCACTTTCTTCCCGCCGTCATCGTAGGTCACTCTAAATGCAAAGTGGTCCCATACAGCAGACCTATAAAGTGCTGCTGGCGCGTCTTCCAACTCCTGTTCTTTCCCACTCGCCATACCCACACAATTCTCCACAACTGATTTTTTTCTGCTACACCCGGCTACGCTGCTTCGCTTCTTCTTCTTGTTTACTACTGGTGGTTGGCTTTGGTCGCAGTACCGCCACCTTCTGCTCTGGAGTGTACACGCTTCACCTATGAGAAAATGGAGCAGCGCATGAACCGAACGCAACACACGCGAACCGAACCGAGACAGTCGAACGAAACGGTTCGGACAGTTTTCATAAACCGTTCCATCCCTATTACAGGCTAACAAAGAAACCAAATGACCCCAATTCGTAAGGGGCGGACTCGTTCATCCAGATCAATTTGCTTGTTTTCTAAGCCAATACAAGGCTTTGTTTTTGGTCCACTCCATTTCTGACCTTTTGAATTGAAAAAGCTTCCTGGATGGGAAGTGAAACATCTTCAAACTTGGAAACAAAATCCAGTGGATTGTTTTTTTTTTTTACTTTTTTGGAATGGCTGAGCAGCTTTTTGCATGTTTCATCATATATTCTGATAGTTATCTTTGGTAATGTTCTCAGAGTACCGCTCATCAACAGCAGTTCATGTCTGAACTGGCATAAGTCCGCGATTACCTGAAGTCCTCAGAGCCGGCAGAACAGATATACTGGTCCAGGTAGTTCCACTTGTATTCCTCCAGTCGCTCATGTCCAAACTCCACCCAGCAAGAGACAAACTGAGCGTCTGAGTGAGGAGGACACAGACTGTAGCTGTACTGGATCTGAGCAGATTCATACGGATACCTACAGACACAAAGACGCCGGTCAGACCTTTCAGTTTGAAACTTTGGAGTTTTTCCAACAAAAACACATCTTTTAAACAGGTTCCCAGACCTTTAGAATAGAATAGAATAGAATAGAATAGAATAGAAAATCCCTTTATTGTGCCACAATGGGGAAATTCTGGTGTTTACAGCAGCAAAAAGATAATAGAAAAAAATTGTCAATTATAATGTTTTATTTAGATTACAAAAATAAATCGTAATAAAAATTATCCTGTTTATGATGTTTTAAAAATTAAGACCTACGAAAGACTGATTTAAGACATTTTAATACCAATTAAGGCCTTAGTTTTATTTTGAAGAATTCAATGCCTTTTGAGACTTTTTAAGGACCTGCGGGAACCCTGCCGGCTTTAGGAGTTCAAAGACCGTTGGGAACCCAGTTTAAAGGTTTCAGGATTGTGTTTGAGTCGGATGCTGTCAGAAGCGCTTACTTTGGCAGGTAGCGGGTCACAGTGATGATCTTGTCTCTGAGGCAGACTTTATGGAAGGTGCGGCCCATGCTGAGCCAGTAGACCGTCTCCTCCTCTTCTGCTCGACGCAAAGACACCAGACCTGATGAAAGAAAATAGTAATATCTGCATTGAGCTTTTTCTTTCTTCACGTTTTTAAATTATCTGCTTCCAAGCCGTATTTCTTTTCTTTAAGGAAATATTTTCTGAAGTTTTCAATTTCTGCCGTTTATTCCATATAGCTGAAGGCTAATTCTGTTTATTGGCTCGTAATTTTACTTCATTTAATCAAGTCGATTTACCTCTGGTATACATAGGACTACTGCCAAGGGGCGTGGCCACTACAGGTGGAGGTTTTCTGTTCTTTGTTTGGACGATGATCTGATATCCTTGCATTAACCTCTGACAGATAAACTCTTCAAACACCTGAGACGCCGTCATCACTGGAGAGTCATCTTCTCGTCTAAAGAAGAAAGGAAAGGAGGAAAAGAAAAAGGAAAAGACATTCGAGGAAGGATTGAACTCACAGAACAAGACAAGCAAAACAACTGGGTTTTTTGAGGGGTTGTAAGGTGGAATAGTTAAAATACATATTTTCCCCCTTCTTAATAAAATCCTGCAGCTTCAGAAGCGACCTGTTAGAGTATTTTAAAACAGAATCACAGATTTAAACTTTTTTTGGGGGGATATATCTAAAGGCTACACATCAAACTTTTTCCTTGAAGTAATATTTATCTCAAAAATAATAATTAATGAAGCGACCTGCAGATTGAGCTGGAAAAATAAAGGCACAACTGTTGGGTTCAATAATGTAGGTTTTGTAAAAGAAGAACTGAAATACACAGTAATGGATTTCCCTACAGCTCCTGCAGGAGGAGAGACAGTTGAACCCCAGAATCAAACACACTGTCTCCGACCGGACCTCCTCTGCAGAGTGTTTTATTAACAGAACATGACACATGGTTACAAACAGAGTATTGTTCTGACAGAACAGTTGATCAGGTCATAAGACAGGATGCTCCACAACTAAATCGCAAGGCAGTGTGGTCTCTTGACTGAATCATGAGACAGAGTAAAGCATCTCATTTCTACAATGTTTCATATGAACACACATTAATTTTATAATCATCATTGAATAAACCTAACAACAACCTAAATTGCAAATGAGAAAGTTTAGATAAACTGCTGGAGGAGTTCCGGGTGAGAAAGCAAGATGGGGACAGCTTAACCAAGTGGCTCCCCGACAAAGCCCAGAAACCTTCCTCTTTTGAAATGATTGCAAGAAATAAAAGCATTAAAAACAGAAATTCTAAATCCTGCTGTCACAACATCTGATTTTACAAGAAACAAACGAAGATCCCACAGCTAGCCTCTCAGATTCAGAAGATTCACTAACGGCTAACGACGCAGCTAATGAGCCCGTTTCTCTAGAAATTAGTCTCCAAGAACTGAGAGAATCAAGTCAGAAAATTGAGACGGTTTCTGAGAGCTCAATGAGGAAATTAAAAACATAAATTGTAGTCTGGACGAAGCAGAAACACGCATCATGGACACTGAAAGTAAGACCCAGCAGTTGAAGTGGCAGCTGTGAAGCTAATGCCCCATTTCCACTAGCCCTCTGAAATCGTTCCATGCCGAGTTCGGACCGAGCTTGGATCACTAAACCGTGCAGAGATTGGTTCTTACGAGCATTTACACAACACGTTAGCGCGGTTCCTCGGCTCCTATCGGCAGTCCACAAACAAAAATGGCGGTGCCCATAACATTGAGGAAGTTATGTTTGTTTATATGAGCGATATTTCGTGGTTTGCAGAATGTCAGGCGAAGAAGGCATCCTTCTGTCTCGGTATCATCCCAGGTCGCACCACGCACTTTTGATGCCATTTATTGTTAAAGGGAAACATATTTTATTTTATTTTTTACATTGGCCCTTGATTTTATGTTATTCCATCATGTTCTACTCACCCATATGAGTCTTGTGTCATTTGGAGCCGTTCTGAAGATATTCCGTTAGGTTATATCCAAGTAACGTCTTCCTATGGGCAACGACTTGAAGGCACAAACTGAACTGTTCATCATTTATTCTTTATGGTACGCCAGCATTCATAACGTAGGCGAATCACTGTCTCCCAGACATCCACGGATATATTTTTTTTATTTATATGTTTTAAAAACAAAGCGGCGTATGTATGACGTCATCTGCGCGCACCGGCTTCCATTCATTCATCCTGTCCGCTGAACTGCTGCTAGTTTTCCTCACATGCCTGGAAGATGTCTAGTGCTGCTAGGGGTGGAACGGTTCACAAAATCCACGGTTCGGTTCGGTTCACGGTTTCGTGGTCACGGTGTTCGTTTCAGTTCGGTATATGTTGATTGTTACACCGAAATCCGATAAAAATTTATGAAATTAATGAAAAAATCCAAAAATATTAATGAATTGTAATTATTTTTAATGATCCGCAGAAACCATGGATCATTTCCACATGTTTTGCTGCTTTGAATTTAATCATCCGGCGCATGCCCTCTACGATCTCCAAGGAACTCAGAGGGGAGCGGACGGGAGCCACAGTGGAGGCTGTAGGCTTTGCTTTGTTCAGCCGGTCTGGAGCGCAGTGGGGCGGAGCGCTGACGGAGTATGAGGGATTTCGGGGTTAGCCTGACATGTTGGTCATGTTGCTGTTAGCATAAACAAAACGTGTTGCACAATGCTTGCACACTGTTGCACTTTTATCCACCACTTTCTTTCCGCCGTCATCGTAGGTCACTCTAAATGCAAAGCGCTCCCATACAGCAGACCTATAAAGTGCTGCTGGCGCGTCTTCCAACTCCTGTTCTTTCCCACTCGCCATACCCACACAATTCTCCACAACAACTGATCTTTTTCTGCTACACCCGGCTACGCTGCTTCGCTTCTTCTTCTTGTTTACTACTGGTGGTTGGCTTTGGTCGCAGTACCCCCACCTTCTGCTCTGGAGTGTAAACGCTTCGCCTATGAGAAAAAGGAGCAGCGCATGAACCGAACGCAACACATGCAAACCGAACCGAGACAGTCGAACCGAACGGTTCGGGCGGTTTTCATAAACCGTTCTTTCCCTAAGTGTTGCTACCACAGATGATCTCGCTCTCCAAATGGAATTGAACGATTCAGATTACTTAGCCGAACGAATATGAGGGGTAGAGCGTAGCCGACTGTGGCCCGGGCTGCCTGTTATGACTCTAGTCCGTATGCGCAGATGACGTCATAAACGCGCCGCTTCTTTTTTAAAATATATAAATATAAAAAATATAACGGCGGATGTCAGGGGGACAGTGATTGGCCTCCATGTTCTAAATGCTGGCGTACCATAAAGAATAAATTATGAACAGTTTAGTTTGTGCCTTCAAGTCGTTGCCCATAGGAAGACGTTACTTGGATATAACCTAACGGAATATCTTCAGAATGACACAAAACTCATATGGGTGAGTAGAACATGATGTAATAACGTAAAATCAAGGGCCCCATGTAAAAAAAACGGCGTTCCCCTTTAATAGACTGAGTAAAGCAAAGCCGGACACGCCGGAAAAACCTGCGAAATGAGTCAGCTGACTTTAAATAGGATATGACGCGGTCTGCTCATGCACTCGTTAGGCCCATTTTCACAACCCTATTGAAACCATGCAGAGAACGGTCCATTCACGGTCACTGAATTAACTGTTAAGAGTAACTGAACTGAACTGAACTGTGTCAGACACAAACGAACTTCGCTAAATCTAGTACTAGTTCATCAGTAAGGCTCGGCGCGATTCAGTTATGGCTCATTTCTCTGATAACAAAGAGCACATGAGCAGACCGCATCATCTCCTTTTTACAGTCAGCTGATTCATTTTGCAGGTTTTCCGGCGTTTCCTGCTTTGCAATTCACAGATCTCTTCACCTGTTCACAACACAAACTTCTTCTCGGTCTGTTAACAATAAATGGCATCAAAAGAGCGTGGTACGACCTGGGATGATCCTGAGACCGAGGTTCTCATTGAAATTTAGGCGGAAGACGCTATCCAGGCACAGTTACTTAAATGTTCGGGACGCTGCCATTTTTGTTTACGTAATTCCCTCCTTGAGAGGTTTAGGTTCGTAGGAGGCGAGGAATGTTGCTACTAAATATATACAAATAAAGAATATATATATATATATATATGATCTGTTAAAAAATTTGAAATAATACTATTTTAAAATAAAACCAGTAAAAAAAAATGTGGAAAAAAATAAAATCTGAAAAATTTATTTGAAAAAGAAAAATGAAAAAAACAAAACAAAACTGAGAAATCAGAGAAAAGTTATTCTCAACACCTTTTTTATTAAAATATTTTTTCATTATTTAATGTCTCAATTGCAATTTTTTTCAGCCTACAAAATTGTTAATTTTTTTTTAAATTTCCAGATTAAAAATGTGTGTTTTGCTTGCTACAATAATGGAACAAACTTCACTCCGTACTGAAGCTTCCTGAAACAACCACAGCAACTTTAAAGCTCACTAAAGCAGCACGCCATCTACCTTTCTAGGTCACTGTGCGGCAGAAGGTCGTAGCAGCCTTCGGTGTAGTCGTTCTGCAGCGTCTGGCGGTCAGGGAAGTAGTCGGTGGTGAGAGGGAGACAGGCCGGTGTGGTCAGGGACTTCCAGTCCACTCCCACCGTGCAGCAGAAGCTGGGCACTGTCGGGGGTGCAGACAGCAGCAGGGCTTCACACACAGACATAAAAATCCCCACCGCAAAGAGAGCATGACATGTACCCGGAGAGATGAGGCACATGTGTGGAAGTGGAGACCAGGAGTGAACAGAAAGGGGGAACAGAAGACGTGAAGGTGGGAAAGAAAAAACAGATAATGAGGCAAACAGAAAGAAAGGAAGAGAGGGGGGAAGAAAAACAGAAGTGTTACTTTTCCTGACGCCATCTCCCGCCCCTTGCTGGTGATTCCTGCAGGGAGCGCAGCTGTAGACCAGTGATCAGACATGCAGATTGTTGCCCCACTCGTTCTGTGATCCACGTCACTCACAAGAAACTGAAAGAGTGCTCTAAGCTCAACCAGGGTGCTGAGTGGATTTAAGCAGACAAATCACATCATGCACGTGTTCACATACAGAAGGTAAGAAATGCCCTAATTGGCAAATTTGCCAAAATATACATAATTTTTTTACAGTATGACAGAAAATTAACTTTAGAGAAAGATATGCGCCGAACATGCAGCCATGCAGGGAAACAGGTTCATTAAACACGGAAAAATTCAGAGTACAAACAGATTGGCAGCAGATTTACAAAAATCAACAAATAACTGGGAGAGGCTCGAGGAAATAAAAAGGCTTAAATATAGAAAGAAAGTGACAGAAGGAGGAAAGGAAGAAGATCCCAAAACACATGACCCATTTCTACCTGGGACACCCCCGTCAACAGGCGCCCACTGCCTGCCCAAGCTGAATAAGCCCTCACAGGTTAAACACACCTATGAAGGTTTATTGTCATCATCAGTTTGATTGACAATTTCATTCCGCTGCTAAAAATCTGAGCAACTTTTATAAAGGAAATCATTTCAGTCCAGTAATGATGGGATGGACTCACTTGGATCTGCACCGCTGCTGGAGAAGTCTTGAAACGCGGGGCTACTGTTGCTCAGAGCTCCTGCAGTTTGACATAAGACAAAAAAATACGACTTTTGCAGTTTAGACCTTCCACTGAGTGTTGCATTCAGGACCTGCGGGAACTAGATATGTCTTTAAAACAATATTTTATATAAAATATAACAAGCTAAGAAACACTGAACCTAGATACGCGACATCTGTGAACAGACAGATTGTACATTGGAAAAAATTAATCTAGATAAGTAATTTTTTCTTAAAATTTGTGCATTTGTTCTTGGATTAAGGAGGTAAAAGAGACAGTTTGCCAATGGAACAAAACAACTTGCACTTAAAATAAGAAAACAATTGCATGGTCTTATTTCAAGCGCATATTATCTAATTATCTTATTTTAAGAATAAACATACTCATTCCATTGGCAAACTCTCATTTACCAACTCAGATCAAGGGTAAATACACTTAATTTAAGATATTTTTTTACTTATTTCTAGATCATTTTTCCAGTGTATCACATCGGTTCCAATAAACAGGTCAAAATGTTAAAAGTAACGTCCTGTTACGCTGAAATGTGCAAATGGGCAAAAACCCTGAACACAACAATATGCTGGTGTCCAGTTAGTAGTGACGTATGCAGCTATTATTCAAAATACTTTTAGCCTTTAAGTACATTTCTGTGTATTCTTGGACTGTTTAAATGTCAATGAAAGAGTAGTTTCTTCTTTCTAAGTCTTATTTTAATATTTCGAAATGCTGTTTGGGTCACATTTTCAACCTGGAGGAGGGAGGGATGTGAAGTGTTTCCTTTAGAGTTAAAGGTACTGCATAGGGGTGTAAATAATAATGGTTTTGTATCGATGCATCGATCCAACAGCCGACGATCCGATGCATCGACACGACCGCAACAGAATCGATTCATGTTTTTTTTTCCTCCGGTCTATTTTTATCCATTTTGCTCCTGGGCGTAATTCTCCCTCCCGTGCTGCGGTGGCGCTAAACCTATTTTGCCCTCCTACTTCGCTTCCTGGTTATACTCTTACAGCAGTGTGTCACAGTGAGCTTGATGCAGACATTTTTGATTTATGCTCAATATTGAAGCGTGATCTGTGCTACACGCTGTGGGTCTAGATACGGCCGAGGCGGCGAGGAAGTGGGGGCGAGTTTAGTCCGACGACGGAGGGACATGAGGGCCAAAAAGAGCGCAGATCCAGGTGGAAAAAGGGTCCCAGCGTTCTCGTGCACCTCGCTCTTCTAGCGGGTCAAACTTCACGAGTTGTTTTCCGCAATTTCGGTCATAAAAACAAAACAAGCCGGCCTCCTGTCTGCGGCGCTGTCTGCGGTCAGCTACAATTTGGGAGAGGAGCAGCGGAGCGTCTGTGGAGGGGGAGGGACGTCTGGAGCCGAGGTATTGCATTGCACTCATTGCACTGATTTTGTGCAGTATTTTTTGATGCAACTTTTCTACTTCTGTTATTTGCTGTTGTTTAAAAAAAAAATAAAAAAAATGCATAACGATATTACAGCTTTCATTGATTCATTTCAAACTTGAAACTTATTTCTGTACATTCCTATTGGCAACATAGGCTCCAATACACTACCCTTGAAAAACCGATCCATGCCGAGACCGGTCCGAGCTCGGATCAGTTAACCAGGCCGAGCTCGGTTCTCACGACCGTTTACACATCACGCTATCTCGGTTCCTCGACTCCTCGCCTCCTAGTGACGATCTGCGGTATTACTGCCAGTATTGAAGGAGGAAATCAAGCAGTTGGTGGCGGTAATGCACCAAAAGTTGTTTGCCAGCCGCCATAAAACACAAGAAGAAGAAGACGAAGAAGGAGGGAATCAAGCAAATCAAAATGGCGGCGCCCGTCACATTCAGAAAGTTATGCTTGATTATTATTGCTGTACTTCGGTGTTATCATTTAAAATGCCATTATTTAAAATGTTGCGTGAAGAAGATTTCGATCGTTGTTTATAGTTGAAGAAGAAGTTGTTCTTCTGTTTCTGGAGGGGCATTACCGCCAACTACTGGAATGGAGTGTGAATTGCGATGTGCAGCCAGACGGAGATGATGCGTTCTGCTCATGCGCTCTTGTTATCAGAGAACCGAGCCAGGGAAAAAGCGAGTCGAGCCCACCTCTGGAACTGGTCTGCAGTTAGCTCAGTCTGGTTGTGTCTAGCTCGGTTCAGTTCAGTTTGCTTTCCATTTACACACGATAAGTTATCTCAGTTCCCGAGCTCGGACCGGTCTCGGCACGCTTTTTAAACGGTAGTGTAAATGGGGTAATAAAAAGCAGAAAACATCTTTGAATGTAATACCATTGCTGTTGTTGCTCCCTGGACTTCCAGTGAACTCCTCCGGCCCTCCGCAGGGATAAAGGCTGTTATCACCTGCTTGCTTGGAGGTTGTTCGCCTTAAATAAAGAAAAATACAAGTCAACATCTCTTTATTTCCCGCCGCCAGGAGCAGAAACTGTCTGCAGAGGAAATATTTGGACGTTTAACCTTCCTGTGGCCTCGTGATAAGCCAGCTCCAGTAGCTCAGCAGAGGTATGAGTAGGATCTTTCTGCTGGCTGCCTTGTAGTTCTGCCATGTTCTGTCTGGTCTGGTGATGGATTTGGATAGCCTCTCCAGAAGGGCCTGGAGAACAGAGCCACCCACTTTACCAGTTAGATCAATGGCAGTATCTTCATTTTGCAGCTTATCTTAACATTTAGGACCCTTAATGTCAATGAGCTTCATCTGAGCACTCTGGTTTCTTCTCACCGATGGGGAAGGTGTGCATCCAGCGCCGGCGGTTGGAGGTGAGCTTCATAGGCATCCTGGAGGGTGTGAAGGGGTTTATAAGTGCTCGCTGAGGGGTGTAACCTCCAGGACGGATATGCAGAGTGGACTCAGCGCTGCCCACTGTGAAACGACCAGGAGCGCTGGAGTCCCGCTGAGAGTCCATCATCTTCTCCAACAAGTCTGAAAGACAACATGAGAGATGAGATCTAGGGCCGCCAAAGCAAACGTATCACAACCTGGGCAGGTGGTTACCTCTGGTGCTGGTGTATCCCAGAGAGCTGCTGACTTCATACTGGGCCGGAGGGCCCCGTGGTATGAGCAGCATGTTGGACACGGGCTCCAGACTGTCATCGGAGGCAAGGCTCTGCTGTTCCTCCGCTCCACCTGAACGAACCGGAGGAGATATACCGATGCCTGTGCTGATGTCAACAGAACCCCAGCTCTTCCTCCCACTCGTCTCTTTGTCTCGGCCAATCCTGAGACAAATGACACGGCTGCTGTTCAACAGAGCAAATCTTCTGATAACCAAACTAGAGAAAATAATCCCAAAAGACCATCTTATCCACTTATAGTCAATTCTTACAGTTAGCACAAAAAAACAACTTACTCCACATATTGCATCCCTAAAACTCCTCCTGATGAGGGCACAGCAAAAACTTGTCTTAAATGAGTAAAAGGTTTTTAATTTTAGTGGATTTGCCCTTAATTGGGGCAGGTAAATAAGGTTATCTGACAATGGAAGGGTTATTTATGTCCTTAAAATAGGATAATTATATATCAGGAACTTGAAATAAGAAACTTAAGTTTTTTTCTTATATTAAACATAAACCATTTTAATTCACCAGTAAACCTGATAAAATAAAAAAAACAACTTAAAAAGAAAAATTGACTTAATTTACTTTTTTTTTTTGCGCAGTGTGTTAATTAAGTTAGAATTCTGCCAAAAGGGCACAAGGAAGTTTTATTTTAAAAACATGCAGATAAGCTAATCTCTACGGAAGAGGATTAGGGCCACTGAAAAAAAAAAAAAGTTAACTGATTTTTCAATTTTATTTCAGTTTAGTATTAAGGTCAGAATTCTGACTTTTTTCTCAGAATTCTGACAGCTAACAAACATGTTAGCATCAAGCCATAGCCATGTCTGTTTTAGAGACTAGCTCTCTTGTTTTAATGACCTTCTGCTCCTCCATTAATGAGGGGACCCCTCGGGTACGTAAAAAGTTGCGTAATTACGTCATTTTTCACCAATGTGTCACTGGCCACCTCAAACAACTCACATCTTTGTCAGTGAAGCTGAGTGCTCCACATCTCTTCCTTCATGGTGCCCATCTACATTAAGATCCAAAATTCTGAGATTAAAGTCAGAATTCTAAGATTAAAGTCAGAATTCTGAGATTAAAGTCAGAATTCTGAGAAAAAAAGTCAGGATTCCGAGAAAAAAGTCAGAATTCTTAGATTAAAGTCAAAATTCTGAGAAAAAAGTCAAAATTCTGAGAAAAAAGTCAGGATTCCGAGAAAAAAGTCAGGATTCCGAGAAAAAAGTCAGGATCCCGAGATGAAAGTCAGAATTCTGAGAAAAAAGTCAGAATTCTTAGATTAAAGTCAGAATTCTGAGAAAAAAGTCAAAATTCTGAGAAAAAAGTCAGGATTCCGAGAAAAAAGTCAGGATCCCGAGAAAAAAGTCAGGATTCCGAGATGAAAGTCAGAATTCTGAGAAAAAAGTCAGAATTCTGAGATTAAAGTCAGAATTCTGAGAAAAAAAGTCAGGATTCCGAGAAAAAAGTCAGAATTCTTAGATTAAAGTCAAAATTCTGAGAAAAAAGTCAAAATTCTGAGAAAAAAGTCAGGATTCTGAGAAAAAAGTCAGGATTCCGAGAAAAAAGTCAGGATTCCGAGATGAAAGTCAGAATTCTGAGAAAAAAGTCAGAATTCCGAGAAAAAAGTCAGAATTCTGAGAAAAAAGTCAGGATTCCGAGAAAAAAGTCAGGATTCCGAGAAAAAAGTCAGGATTCCGAGAAAAAAGTCAGGATTCCGAGATGAAAGTCAGAATTCTGAGAAAAAAGTCAGAATTCCGAGAAAAAAGTCAGAATTCTGAGAAAAAAGTCAGAATTCTGAGAAAAAAGTCAGAATTCTGAGAAAAAAGTCAGAATTCCGAGAAAAAAGTCAGAATTCCGAGAAAAAAGTCAGAATTCTTAGATTAAAGTCAAAATTCTGAGAAAAAAGTCAAAATTCTGAGAAAAAAGTCAGGATTCCGAGAAAAAAGTCAGGATTCCGAGAAAAAAGTCAGGATCCCGAGATGAAAGTCAGAATTCTGAGAAAAAAGTCAGAATTCTTAGATTAAAGTCAGAATTCTGAGAAAAAAGTCAAAATTCTGAGAAAAAAGTCAGGATTCCGAGAAAAAAGTCAGGATTCCGAGAAAAAAGTCAGGATTCCGAGATGAAAGTCAGAATTCTGAGAAAAAAGTCAGAATTCCGAGAAAAAAGTCAGAATTCTGAGAAAAAAGTCAGGATTCCGAGAAAAAAGTCAGGATTCCGAGAAAAAAGTCAGGATTCCGAGAAAAAAGTCAGGATTCCGAGAAAAAAGTCAGGATTCCGAGATGTAAGTCAGAATTCTGAGAAAAAAGTCAGAATTCCGAGAAAAAAGTCAGAATTCTGAGAAAAAAGTCAGAATTCTGAGAAAAAAGTCAGAATTCCGAGAAAAAAGTCAGAATTCTGAGAAAAAAGTCAGAATTCTTAGATTAAAGTCAGAATTCTGAGAAAAAAGTCAGGATTCCGAGAAAAAAGTCAGGATTCCGAGAAAAAAGTCAGGATTCCGAGATGAAAGTCAGAATCCTGAGAAAAAAGTCAGAATTCCGAGAAAAAAGTCAGAATTCCGAGAAAAAAGTCAGAATTCCGAGAAAAAAGTCAGGATTCCGAGAAAAAAGTCAGAATCATGAGATTAAAGTCAGAATTCTGTCTTTTCTCCAATACTAAATTGAAATAAAATCTTAAAATCAGTAAACTTTTTTTTTTTTTTTTTTCCAGTGGCCCTAATCCTCTTCCGTAATTCTCCATGCACATTTTGAACATTTTAATGATTGCTGATTTGGTACCACATGACCCCAATATGTCCAACGTATAAATGCACGCTCCTCTGCGCTCCTAGCTTGTTTGTTATGCGCCTGTAGATTCTCTCATTGACCCTTTTCTGTGCGCTCAGTTAAACTTTTCTCACTTTGTGGGTGGAACCAGCCTGGTAGTGAAAACTGCGTTCGCCATGTTGGATGTGGAAAATCTGCTGTTAGTCTCATAGACAGTACTTCAGTATTAGAGGGGCTTTAATCTAATTAAAAACTTTATATTTCTAATATTTAAAATATATTTTTTTGTTTAAAAGTTTTTTTTTGTATCTTTTGGGTTTATTGACCTGATATTGTAACCTTATCTCATAATATTGAATAAAATGATCTATAACTTGGCCCTAATCATGTGACACTGCCAGGACTCTTATATGACTGTATGACTATTTTCCTGATCTTCCAACTTTATTCTCATGATGTTTTTCCTGCAATATTGCCACTTTTGTCTGGTATTTTTGCTGTTTTTCTTGTTATATTAGTAATTCTCTCCTTTTATTACCATAACAATATGCGCCTCAGTCCATACCAGATATTAAGAAGCTAATTTCCATATCCAGCCGACTATTTATAAAGACAATACTGGACGTAAAAAAGAAAAAAAAAAATACCTCACACCAGTTGCAAAATGACTGTAGATGTAAAATGTTCAGCTTTAAACCAGAGTTCATCAAAACCTCACTTTCCTCAATCTAAACAGTTAAGCTAACATTAGCTTAGCTCATATTAGGTTCCAAATTTGACATTAATCACCGTGCTCGGACCGTTCTCGTTACGGTTTCTAAAGGGTTTTGTAAATGGGGTATACTTTTCGCAAGAAGCTCTCAGAACTGAGCTGTTTGACTTCAGACATCAGAACCAGACATCAGAACATATAAAAGATATATAAAAAGTTAAATAAAACTAACAAACTTTGTGGGAGGGTGAAGGTATTCTAAAAAGGCACTGATGAAATGAAATGAAATGACCGAATGTTTTTAAAGTTCATGAAGCATTATGCAACAGTCCTAAAGCTAAAGCTTGTGAATACCTGAAGTTGGTACTCCTCTGAATTCTGGACGGACCCGGAAGGCGGAACACCTGAGCATCATAGGCATCGTAGTCTACCTGTATAGGGAGGCTGTTCTCCGAGTCTTTAGGTGAACACAGAGCTGAAAGAGTCCATAAAATCATCACCTCATTCATTTTAACCATCAGGTAAAGGCGGTGACTGCTGACAACTCACAGTGGTCTCTGCTGCTCTTCAGGGTTTCTCCTTGAGGCTAAGGATAAGATCAGTTTTCACCACAGAAAAAAAAAAACTAGATTAGGAAACAAAAAAATCTGACAGTGAAAGAGTAAATGGGACGTCATTGTTGTGTACCTTCCGCCCAGCCAGCTTGATCCGAGGAGTAAACGAGTTACAGGAACTCTGGCTTTTGGACGGATAGAAGCTGCAGAAAAGACGGGAGGTCTAAAAAGTCACAGCTACAACTTTTTCAGCCAAAGGATTTTGCGAATATAATAAATCCACAAAACATCATAAAAGTAATTATTCTTACATGCAAACACGTAATTCAACTCAGTTTATTAATATAGCGACAATTCACAAGGCGTCATCTAAAGGCTCTAAACAGAGACAATTTAACCAGATCATACAGACAGATTGGTTTAAAGTTTTCTATCTAAGGAAAACCAGCTGATTTAATCAACTCATTGACTGGAAAGCAATCCCTCACACCAAGCATGCTTGTAGCGACAGTGGAGAGTAAAAACTTTTTTTTATTGTTTTATAGATTTTGATGGATCAAAAACCTAATTATTTGTTTGGTTGTAATGCGAAGACTGACAGGAAAGGATTCTGAATATTGATCTGAAAAATCTTTTAATATATCAAATAAATTAGGTAGCAACATAGGCCAAGACTTGTTTTAAATTAGAAAAACTGTAGGCTAATAAACTGAGCAGCGTTAGCTGGACATGATGTATCGGGTAGACAAGACATACTTATTTCCGTAACAAACCAAATTCTTTCTCAAGAAACATAACATGTTACTGTTTAACCAAAGTGTCTGTAATTTGTTTGGACTCCGACTACTTTCCATTATTGTAAGAGAGGGAGAACGAATGTGGGCCAGATCAGAACAGGGCTAATTACCAAGCAATAATAATAATGAACTGTTCTCTCTTCCTGGACGGGGCCGCCTTTTACAGCTTCCTTTTGTATCTCTGCTTCTGTCTCCTTGAACCTCAGTCGGCCTCAGCAGATGGCCGCTCACACTGAGCCTGGTTCTGCTGGAGGTTTCTTCCTGTTAAAGGGGAGTTTTTCCTCTCCACTGTCGCTACAAGCATGCTTAGTGTGAGGGATTGTATTTGAGTCAATGAGTCGATGCAATCAACTTTTTTTCCTTAGATAGAAAACTTTGTATCAATTTGACTGTATGATCTGGTTGAACTGTAAAGTGCCTTGAGATGACATGTGTTGTGAATTTGGCGCTATATAAATAAACTGAATTGAATTGAATCTTTGCAAAGGTAAAATAAAATGCTAAATGAGTGAAATCCATTGATCTCCGTTTATTTAACCGGAGTCAATAATTGAATTTTTTTTTCCCACAACAATTTACAAAAAAAAAAAATTCCATTATATACTTTCAACAGCAAAATACCACATTATTTTATTTTAAGTTCAAAACAAGTTTTTCTTTTTTCTTAACTTATTTTTAGATATGTTTTTACAGTACAAACTGAAAAAAAAAAGTACTGGAATACTTTGAAAGAATAATTCTAACACAAAGTTTAATATCTAAGTATAAAAGTTATGGACTTGTCTTATATCAATTAGAAAACTGCTTTTTTTTTTATTTATCTCAATATATTTCACGTCCCAAATGAGTTCTTTGTTTCTTAGTTTAACCTGCTATAAATAAAGGGATCGTTCATGGAGAACATGGAGCTCCTCCTACCTGTGGTTGATCCAGTGTGGAAGGTTGTAGTCATCTCCAGCACGCGAGTCTCTGGCTGTCGCCTTGTTTTGCAGCTTAAAAAGAAAACAACAGAGACCAGAACTTGTAAAAATGAGCTTTCTTCAGCCGGAGGCGGCAACACCGGCTGACACTTTGAATCCTTTACCTTAAACAACGGCACAGCGTGCAGCGGCTGCTCCCCCATACACACCAGGTCCACACCGATGCCTAAAAAGAATTCAGCATCACCTTTAATCATTTCCTACACCTTCCCTTCGCTTGTGTGCATTGAAACACTGACCGTTATCGATCATTCGCTGTTTAGTGAGAATCATGAGCAGACGGTCCACTTCAAACACTCCCACCCCAGGAGTGATGACCACGGACATCTGGCCGGTGCGGTCAAAGTTACGGTTGATGTAGTGCTTGTCAAACACTGAGGGAGACATTTAGAACAACACAACTCATCATTCTCAATGTAGAAAAAAACAAAAAAACAAAGAAAGAGATCAGTGAAGGTGGCTTTATGTCCTACTGTAATAAAAGCACAGAATTAACTGGAGTTTTCACTGATAGGGTTAAATTAAGGTGGAGCCTCCTTTCATTCACCACAGGTGTCAAGTAACGAAGTACAAATACTTCGTTACTGTACTTAAGTCCACTTTTTAGGTATCTATACTTTACTCCATTACTTATTTTTCCTCCTACTTTTGACTTCTACTCATTACATTTTCACACAAGTATCTTTACTTTCTATTCCTTACATTTTTAAAACAAACGTTACTCGTTTGCGAGCGTCAGACAGCTATGGTGCATTCAGGAGCATGGGACATTTCATACTTACAAGGAAAGAGACAAAAACGGAACGTAACTCATACAATAATGTATTTATTCAGAAACAGTGTGGGCTTTCTTACAATACTGAATGCTCTATAATTGTGTTTCTGTTATTTTTGATTATTCACATCTGCTAGCTTTTTATTCTAAAAAGTATCAAAGTTTTTCAAAAGCCTGTTTAAAAGCTCCAAATGAGGCTTCAGATCGTACAGCGACAATTGCGCTGTCATTGTTTTACAGGGCAGAATTTGCATTTGCTGAATCTTGTCTTTTAACTAGTGATGGATATACAGGAATACAGTCATACAAGTGTCAACTCCTCTCAGATAGAACTGGATGCAATATTTGGCAATTTCTATTTTTATTTTTTCATCTTTTTTTTTTTTTATTCAGTGTAACATGAATGCATAAATACGTCATTTTATTTGAGTGTTAAATTCTGTTTAAAGTAACAGATCATTAAAAATGTCTCCTGACATTTACTGGTTGATTTTCTTTATTCGAACGCCACTGATTTTTAATTAGTTACCCATGGTTTAATGTTTATAAATGTTTATTTCCCATCCATTTTCCATCCAATGCAGATCATTGGCTCCATCCACATCTAGTGAAAACTAGTGTGATTGGATGAGTCATAGAAGGCAAACACTCATTGGTTAGCTAAAGGAAATCATTAGAAGCAAGCAGGTGTTCTTCAAACTGTAAACGTGAATTGTCTATGCCATGCTACAATGTGGGATTCAGGAAAACATGTCTAAATGTCTGAAAGGTCGGACACAGGCGAGAGCGTATCGGGAGACCTCCCTCATCCTTGGCAATATCTCTAAGAACTTTTTAAAATAGACGACAAATTGAGCTTTTAATTCATATAGTGGCATCTGGCCTTTTTCTTAAAGGTTACTTTATACTTTTATACTTTAAGTAGTTTCTGGAGCACATACTTTTTCACTTTTACTTGAGTAAAGAGGTCAAGTTGATACTTCAACTTTTACCAGAGTGTTTTTAAACTGCAGTATCTATACTTCTACTTAAGTAACAAATGTGTGAACTTTTGACACCACTGTCATTCACCCATTTCTGCACACAGCTGGTCAGGTGGTGGAAAGAAGGCCAAAAAAAAAAGAAAAAATCAGCCTCCCTTGCTTGAAAGAACAGCTAATTTGTCTGTTTGGAAATACTGACGATGCATAAAAAGGCACACTTCGACATACAGCAAGTAAATTGACACAAGTCAGAAGTTACAGGTAAGTTATCTGATCGTTGACATACATTAAGTATGAGTTACTCGTAAGTCACGGCGTCTACCATGTTTTCGCGACTATAAGGAGCATATAAACGTCTTTTTTTTCCCTCAAAACATGCGGGGCGCCCTATGTGTGTTGTTACTGCGGACGTTGTTGAGACCGCCATGAGAACGTTAAAGGGGGAAGTGTGGGCGTGGATTGTGTATAAAAGAACAGGTATGTGCTTTATGCAGAACTCCTCATCTCCTCATTGAGGAGATGATGAAAGAGTGGCTGAGGGAGGTGAATGTAAGGAGACCAGGTGGTTTTTTTCCACGCATCACCATCGCTGTTAATCTGTGACTCCATGCGTGCCCATCTCACAGCCAATGTGAAAAACATAGTGAAACAAATTAACGCTGTGCTCGCTGTTATTCCGGGAGGTCTGACAAAGGAACTTCAACCGCTCGACATCGGTGTGAACCGGCCGTTCAAAGTAAGGCTGCGTTCACACCGGACGCAGCAGGCGCAGGAGAAGCAGCGAGTTTACATGCAAAGCCAATGGTTGACGCGCGTCAAAGCGCAGCAAAAGGTCCCGCAGCGCGTCTGAGCAGCTGGCGCAGCGCGTCGGGAGCGTTTAAGCATCTGACGCGCGTGACACTGGCTTCTCATCATTTCATGGGCATTATACTGACTACGTGATGCATAAATTAGGCTTTTGTTGGACATAAGTTCTGGACTCATTATGAATATTCAATACATAGAAACTTCAGCGTATGCCAGCATTTTAAGAGAATCTGGGACGAGAGGGCCCTTAGCCTACCTTGCTTGAAAGAACGCATGCGTATTTTTAACATTCTAATGCGTAATTAAGTCGGGCATACACTGTAGGTTATTTTGCCCTTTTTGGGCCGATAATAATCTCCAGTCGTGCGACAATTTTTGCGACAACAGAGGGTTACGAGGGGCAATTAGCTTCTCATGACCAGCTCCTGATCAGGGATCAAAAGGTCGGGAGAAAATCAAAAGTGTTTGAAATTCAGTCGGCCGTCTTAAGGTGGTCGTGGGCAAATCGCTCAGTGCGCAAACAAGGATTCTTCTTCTTCTTCCTCTCAAATGTAAACACAGAAGCATGGCGGGGTTGCAATGAGTGAAATGGAGTTCTTTCTGTAAAATTGACAAACTGTAGTAGCCTCGTTTGCTCAGCCGTGTCTTTTTTCCAAATACGTCGTCGCCTTTTTTTCTTTTTAGGGCTTTCAGCACAAAATTGCACAAATAGTCAAAGCAGTGCGTTTCTCTCTAGTCAGCTTCATATTCCTCTTCTACTCGTTTGGCTTCCGGATAGACGAGTCTGAGCAGCGCCATCTCACTGCGGAGCTGAGGTTGTTTTTAGACGTACAGTTTGAGCAGGTAGATCTCATCAGAGCGTCGGGTCGCACAGTGTGAGAACAAACATAGTGAGCTGTAAATTTTTAAACCCTGCGGTTTCGTCGTACAGTTTGAGCTGTAGCTGCGTGCAACGATAGAAAAAATCGTTGCATCGAGTATTCCCAGCTTTACTTAACAGTATGAGGCCCCAATATATAAAAAGCATAAGTTAATCTTCCTTCTCTGTGCTATTTGGATTTATGCGCCTGTAGATTCCCTCATGCTACGTTCACACCGTACGCAGCAGACGCAGCAGAAGCAGCGAGTTTACATGCAAAGTCAATGGTTGACGCGCAAAATTTCCCGCAGCGCGTTTTGAGCAGCAGGCGCAGCACGTCGGGAGCGTTTAAGCATCTGACGCGCCACAAACGCGCTGCTGCTTGAGATGGAAAAATTTAACTTTTGCGGCTCGACGCGCCGCATCAATCAATCCGAGAAGCTGATCTGGGAGCTGGCAGGGAGACAGACACATCGCTGATGACACAGAGCGCTGTGATCACTCCTCTGAAACAGTTTGTTGAGGCATAAATTAACTTAAAATGCAGAAATCTGCCGGCAGAATATGTTCGCTTTTATTATCCTGCTTACTGCAGTTTAGATTATTTAGATGAAAAACACCTACCAGCCGCCGCGGTGAACCGCGAGGAGGCGACCGGCCAGAGGCTGCTGTTGAATGGGATTCCTACTGACAGCGCCGCTGGTATGTGGGGGTCTGAGCGGCTCCGACAGAAATAATATTGGAAGGCAGGATGGTAATCAGGATGAACTGACTGCAGTGATTAAGTTTTCAGGTGTATTTTCTCACTTTAAAACATATTAAAACTACTTTATTCCCACTGATCACAGCAAATATAGCTGCAAGGCAGAGAAAGGATAGAGTAGCTCCGCCCAACGCGCGTCAGACACACTTTTGCACCGCGCAGCCAGAGCAGCAAAGCTGCTTCAGCCGCCCGTCAGAACTAAACTGGTACAAGCAGCAAAAATGAAGCAGCAGACACGATTTTGCTGCTCCTGCTGCGTCCGGTGTGAACGTAGCATAACATCTGTAGCTGTTTCTGAGGGGGAGAAAGTAAACTGCTAATGATCGGCTACAGCTTAGGAAATCCTGCTTCTTCAGACAGTGCCGTTTTCTTCCTGATTGCGGCTGGTAAGGTTAGGAAAGCATCTTCATGCTAATAGCTGTTCTCTTAGAGTTTTAATCGGTTAAATGAAATCATTACTAAATAACTTGGTTTTACAGAGACATGATTAAAACCGTCCCACTTCGTATGAGAGTCGGACAAACTCGACTCTGAAGTTTATTGGTAGACTAAAATGTGTTGTTTGATTAAACTCCTTTATAGTTTTCCCCTCTTTTCCTTCACTTGCAGAGACATTTCTTAGTCAGAGGAGCTTTGGTTCAATCAGAAGAGGTTTGGTTTAAGCCAACTCACCGTTAAAGGAAAGATTGATAGCCTCCAGGTAGTTTCCCTGGACAGCAGTGGAATTATAGCCCACAGGAAAACCATCTGACGTCACAACGAGCAAACAAAACAATTTGGGTTATGATTGGATCCTGAATCCCAGATCAGAGATGCTTTGGACTTCTCCACTACCTGCTTCTTTAAGTCGCACCAGAACAGGGTACTGGATGAAGAGTTTCTTGATGGTGACCAGTAGAGACGTCCACTCGTCCCGTCTCTCATTCTGAGCAACGACCCTGATCACAAAACAGTCCACAGCTTCCATCAGACCCCGACCATCATCGGTCCTTTCTCTTTTCATTGGGTTCCCTTACCTGTAGAAGTCTTCATAATAGCGTCCCTCGTGGTTCTGTCTCATGGATCCTCTCACAATTTCAGGAAACTCCTCTGAGGAATTTCACAACTTATTCAACATGTTTAAATAGGAAGAGAATAAACAGGAAAAATCCAATAAACTCACCCAAAGTTTTGGCGTTATAAAATGTGCGTGAAAAAAGCACGACGGTCACTTCATGGCTGCAGTTCTTCTCCTGTTAACATGGAATATGATTAAAGGGACTAATTTGGCTTTTTTGTTAACAAAAATCAAGCATGGCTTTCAGAAATACATAATCTGTCAAAGTCTAGTAAAAATTAAAATCAAAACAGCTGTGAGCCTAAAATCGGCCATTTTGAATCAAACGTTGCCCTGCTGAAAAAGACCAACAGAGTTGAAAAAATTACCAAAAAGCCTCCGTTTGTCAGAGGTATATATATATATATATATATATATATATATAGTAGTGACGTTATGAGATGAGCCGAGGCTTCGAGGCGTGTGTCGAGTAATGGAGGGGGCGTTTCCCCAAAGCGCGTGTCGAGGCGTGATTCATTTAGAGGAGGGGCCAAAATTGATTACGTCCGAGGCCTCGTTACCGTGAAACCACGTGACCGCTTCGCGAAGTGGTTCGGGAAGCGCAAGAATTTTGACAGGCATTTAAACAGCTTCCGTGTTCAGTCAAGATGTTGGAGATTGGAGGAGAGCTGCTCTCAGCTGGATAAAGTTTGGATTGATTCTAAGAATAAATTGGTTGTTTTTCCAACCAATCTAGTTGCTTAAAGCTAATTTGGTTTGAATAAACAATGTAATGATCAAAATCTGAGCAGTTTTAAGAAATATTTTCTGCCAGATCAGACTATCTACATGAGTGGCGTCCTCTGTAAGGGACAGACTCTTACCCTAGAGGTTGTTGGTTCAAGACCTGTCTCTATCTTTTGAAAGTTGCGATTAAACTTAATTATTTTGGCTGATGAGACTAATTTGCATTGTTTTGCCCGAGTAAAAATATAGATTGGGAAAATTAGGTCGGTTTAGTCAAAAGATTGGTTAAATACAACTTCCAACCTGATTAAAACCAAAAAACATGGAAAAACTATCATGTTTGAATAAAATTGACTAACACCTTTCATTTTGTTCATCATTGCCCAATTTGCACAAATACTTTCACTGTCTGCTTGAGTTTATTTCACTAAAATGGCAGAAAACTGTGCACCTTAAATGATTGTTCTAAGAAATTTTACACTTAAAAAACTTACAAAAGATTTTATTATACACACCAACCATTAACAATTTCAAGGGAACTTAAAAGGGGAAAAAAAGAAAAACAATTGCAAAAAAAAAATCACAGATTTTATTACAAACTGTAGTTCTGCTCTCCACCAGTAGGTGGTGACATGTTCACATGAAGCCTCATGAACTGTGGGGATCGTTGAAGCAATTTGGCCAAACGGTTCAATGCCTCATGAGGCTTCATCTCACCATCACTAATATATAGATATATAGATAGATATAGATATAGAGATAGATATCATGAAGGACTTCTGGGAATCTGGGAAGTCTTTTTCCGCACAAAAATGTTTATAGTCTGTATACTCAAGTTAAAGATTCGATTCAATTACTAAAATAGCCGACTATAATTTTTATAATCAATTCATCTGACTAACTGTTACAGACCTTAAGTGAAATAAATAAAAACATAAATACCGACTTAAATAAAAGTAAAGGTATAGTGTAAATAAATGGACTGATGTTTTCTTTGAGGTTTCAATAAAACAGAGATTCTTAGGAAAACAAAACAAGAGCAAATGAAAACATTAGACCTGGATCTTTCAGCAGTTTGATAATCTTTGAGTTTGTTTGTTTAAGTTTGATTATCAAACTAAAGGGATAGTGCAAAAAAAAAAAAAAAAAAAAAAAGTTCAAACCTTCCATTTAGTAAACAGATCAGACAGGAATCCATTGACGGCTTTTTCAAAGTACAGATCTCCTGGAAGGAAAAGATCCAAATGAAATATTCATCTGTGAAGGAAAGAAACGGGAGCAGCCAGTCGAATTATTGATGTCTCACCGTATATATCGAAGTCCCACATCTCACAGCTCATCTGGATGAAGATGTAAACCATGGCAGAGGTTGATCTAAAAACCACCTGAGAAACCAGAACCTTAGATTAGTTTAATGACTAACGACATGAAGGATGGCTGGCATGATGACATGACAATAGGAGTGAGTTAAGAGATGTTTGGTTTTTTAAATCCTAGTTTCCAAAGATTCATTTAATATCTTTATAGTAGGTCCCAGTGTGTATGGGATGGAAATCATTTCAAATATGCAAAGCAGTATATCTAAGCTCTTTATCAACAAGTCAAGGAAAACTATTAAGTATCAGACACAGAAGTTTTACTAAAAGAGATCCTTCATTACAGGTCACTATAGAAAGTGTGACTGGGAGAAATGTATATAAGGTGAAAACTTGTACGTTATACATGAAAATTACTTTATGTATTATTGTATATTATAACAGTAAATTATCAAATGCACTTTACTTATTTTTGTAATTTACGGAGAATATAATTATATTTTATAACTAAGGTCAGAAATATGAAAAGAAAATCAGTCAGTTATAAGCTGAATTGGGTTTCATAAATGTCACCGCTATGGAGTTAATTTTGTTTCATTATTATATATATACATACATACATATATATATATATACATACATATATATATACATATATATACATATATATATATATACATACATATATATATACATACATATATATATACATATATATACATATATATATATATATATACATACATATATATATATACATACATATATATATACATATATATATATATACATACATATATATATACATACATATATATATACATACATATATATATATATACATATATATATATACATATACACTATATTGCCAAAAGTATTTGCTCACCCATCCAAATTATTGGAATCAGGTGTTCCAATCACTTCCATGGCCACAGGTGTATAAATTCAAGCACCTAGGCATGCAGACTGTTTTTACAAACATTTGTGAAAGAATGGGTCGCTCTCAG